GGAAAAGACATGTTTTATATAAAACATACTACATCTAAAGTGTTTGGTAAAAAAACATAAGAGTACTGAACTGTAACAAGGAGTTCTACCAGCATCAGGATTCTACACCACTTCTCTTTTTTGCCAATAATGATCTGTTAATCTATGTCTTAACCTCGATGAAGCTGGTTGCCACAGGATGTTGGTGGGCTTCAGTGTTAGCTACGACCGATTTTGAAACACTGACTCAGACACCTTCTCTTGACTGCATCTCACCATGTATTCTGCTCGTGTTGTGAAGCAATCTATCACCATACAGGTGTATATGGAAAGTGTGGTGTGTGTGTGTGATAACCTTCATGATCAAGGTATATATTGCACTATACGAGCACAGCACCAAGTTCCATTCTTAAAACCATTGGTTTTTAAGAACACAGATCCTAACGACCAGGCACTGGTATTACCCTTAGCATGTACAAAGCCATGGAAAGCCATCATGATGTCATGGGTCACCCAGACAGAGACAGAATTATGTCATGGTCACCTAGACAGAGACAAAGTTATGTCATGGTCACCCAGACAGAGACAGAGTTATGTCGTGAGACATCCTGACAGAGTTATGTCATGGTCACCCAGACAGAGACAGAGATGTGTCATAGGTCACCCTGACAGAGACAGAGTTGTGTCATAGGTCACCCTGACAGAGACATAGTTATTTCATGGGACACCCAGACAGAGACAGAGTTATGTCATGGGACACCAAGACAGAGACAGAGTTGTGTCATAGGTCACCCTGACAGAGACATAATTATTTCATGGGACACACTGACAAAGTTATATCAAAGGCAGGACATGTTCTACTGGTCTAACATAACGAGGAATGGATCGGCGTATGTCAGCAATGCCTTTGAACAAACTGCACCTCCTGGAATAAAGCTAGAGCTGGTTGCAAAGGAGAATATGCCAATGTTCTCACATAGTTATTTTTTTTTTTTTTTTGATCATTTTACTTAATATGCCCAGGCTTTTCTTGATTCATGACCAAACTGTTACGACAATGGTGTACCACAACTTTACTGTTTTACAGAACTCAGAAATTACTTCTTTCCAACCATGGTCCAAACTACGAAAGTGATGTCACCTTTGGAGTTTATATGATATTGGAAGTAGAGTAGTAAAAGTGAAAACGGAATGACAGAACAGTTTAACTGAACAAAAAGGACCGGAAGACTTACATTTAACCTCTGCTTATTGTTTATATTTGCAAACGCCAACAGTCCACAAATTTTCACCATTCTACCACATATCCTTCTAAAAACATGTCTTCAATAAAAACATTCAGATAGCTTATTGGCAGTCCAAATATATGGTTGTGAACATACTGAAGCGTGTTTTGTGAAAAACAGTCAAAATTAAAGCAGAAGTATACAGAAAGGAAATCACAAAAATGATTGAGTTTCAGGTCGACAACATTCTCGCCCAGACTCACCTTTGCCATTTGGTGGCAAGGTCTTCAAAAAGACTATTGCCATACCATGGGAATCAACAGCGCACAGTGCCCCTCCGTTTGCTGACTCAGATTTTATTTTCACACGAAGAGCATTTCAAAACAGGTAATGGATACTCAGAAAATATCACTTTCAGACATACTGATGTCATCTTGTCTATGACAAGATTTATTGATCATGTCCATCGTATATGTCTAAAAGAATTTGAAATCAAGGCTGCAACAGACTGTTTTTCCTACAACGAAACAAGCATGGACAGCTTTCAATTAAGCTGCATGATAAGCGTGATGATTTTAATTTCCATATTGTGCATTCCATCCATTTCTGCATCTCCTACCTATGGTGTTGGCATGTCCCATTTGATTTGCCTGTTAAGAGCCTGTTCACATTATTATGATTTTGTGCAAGAAGTCATTAACTGACGGACTAACTTGTAACACAAGGTTTTGAAAAGATGCAGGTGGATAGAAATTTTGGGAAAGATTTATGGTCATAATGATTGAAAAATGTATTATTTCTTCATGCAATATAAAGCTGGGCGTGTTTCATGCTCTTTAGTTTGCTTGTTGGTTCCGTTGTTATATACCTTGTGTGAAGTTGAGAACGTGACATTACTTACTTGGACTGATCAAGATTTACATGAAGCAGATCATGCTTACTCTTCTGGAACACCTGATCTTATTCTCCTTGTTCTATGTATAAATTTTTATTTTGTTAATATTTTGTCCTAGTTATATTGAATTTGAGTTTGGATTATGATTATGATGATATGTTGATATTTTCATGTTTTTATACTTGGAAGAGAGTCCCGGTTACATGTGGATACCCTGTTCCGCCTAGGAGGATTTATCGAGAAGCTTGCTTTGTCCGATTACACAAAGCATCTCAGGGGAAAACTTTCTTTTAAATACAACATGGAAACAAAAATTTGTCAGAAACAATAAGGTGATATAAGGCACATAACGACCCCAAAGTCGTCACTTGTCAATGTCGGAGGTAAAGTTCTGATAAAGAGATCGACTTTTGATGGAAAACACAATTTGTAAGATATTTGGGAGGCAGATTCCTACTTCTGGCCAAGGAACACTATCCCAACATTCCCGTAGTTATGGTGGAATCAGAATCGACATAAGGAAAAAACTAGAACATTGCACAGGAGTAATTTACGTACTGTCATCTCATCCAGTGTCAGTTCCCAGACGAACAACACGGATCACAAGAGCTACCACAGTGGAGAATTGGGAGGACTCCAAAGTGCACATGCAATTGTGGATTAATGGAAAACCAATGCTGGACTGTTTGATTTCTTTTTCCATCACCAGAATCATTTGTAATGGATATTTAACTTATGGTTGATTCCATTTCCTGTTGAGTTATATCATGTTATCTTGTTTCTAATTATGTTTCATGATAGGTTTGTACATTGATCTTACTGAGAATCCATCGTACTGCATGAATTTTTACACCTTGTAATGTATATAAGTAACTGGTTTTCATGGTGAATGATAAAAATTGATTATTCATGTATAAGCTTTTTGACAAGGACGCTATTTTGATAGCAGGGGATGATGTAATAATATTTATTTTATTGGAATCACTCTTTGTCCTTCGTCTTTTGTTTTTGTCTTTTTTCTTTACATTTTAGACTTCTTCTCAAAAACGCCTCAACCAATTTCAGTGAAAATTTGCAGAAAACTTCCTAGGGTAAAGATGAACCAAACTTCTGAATTACATGGGCTCAAATTTAAAAAATCTTCTCAACACTCGGATATGGTAGAATCAAATGCTTTTCATGAATGGAAGGATCTTGGTGTGTTTTACATTTAAGTTAGAATTACCTTAACTGTCATATGTATTGTTGCCTTATGTACTATCAACAACCAGGTGTCATTTAAGGACGTGCCAGGTTTGGGTGGCGGAGAAAAACCACTAACCTGCGGCCAGTACTTTGTGACTGTTCCACATAGGCCTCGAACCCTCTCCTTCCTCTCCAGGTGTAAAGATCTGCTTTATGCAGGTGAGCTATTAAAGATGCTTGACTTTTGTTAATATGACACAGTTAATTTGATATTCAATGGCTTACTCTTTATTTCACTATTTCCATGAAAGATGGCGATACAAAAGGTATGATCAAGATCATTTCATAGATTAGCACACAATCCATTAACTACATGACAAATATTTCCACACACACATCATTAATGTCAATATTCATCTCAATTTAAATGATAATAACTTACGTATATAATTTGTAAGTAACATGCAACAATGGTATACATTGATTACATTCTTCATATCAAATATACATGATACAGATCAAAATATTTCAAATCCTTTATAAAAAAAAAATACCATTAAAAATTGTTTATTGCATTAATTTCAAAATTTCAATAAAAATAATATTACAATTAAGGCCTACAATATCTATACTGCAAACGTCTTTCTTCTTTCATCCTCTGTTTTCTTTTGCATCAATTCAATTATAATGACCTTCTGGATGTAGACTAACATAGAGTGCTTATTTATTGAAAACTTCTTACAACATATAAAAACACTGTAATGTAAAAGTGCCTGTGAAGGCCCCTCTCATTAACAATCAGGATATATAATTATTTTCTCAATAATTTTAAACAGTGGTCTTGTTTACTTGGCCATCACAGATATACTTGAAACCATCCTAGTGACTGTAAAGGTCTACCTGGTATTAGCAGTTTTTTCAGTTTATCTTCTTATTTTTAACATTGTCTTTATAAAATAATTAAGATAAATCTATTTGAACTGGAGATGGTGTTTAATTGAATCAAAATACTATTTTCCTGTTTATACATTCTCTTGATTTAGATAATAGAATGTCCTGTTGATGTGCAAACTGATAATTGAAGTACAAAGTATACACTTTTCCTAAACCGCTTAAAGATTTATTCAGAGTACACTTCAGTTACTGTTTTACATTGATCTTAAGATAGCTGATTGATCTTAGATTATACGTTTTGATATCAACAGAACAATATATTTTTCAAAAACAATGCTACAAAAACCAAGTGATCTCTTGAATATTCATTTCGTTTCCTTCAAAATGCTGAATTCAGTCCTCTTCAGAATATCATCGAATGGTAAAAGTAGATGATAACTTACAATAGATAGTTAAATGAAAAAAAGGACACAGCAATGTCTTCAGTATACAGAAAACCAAATCTTCATATTTCAAAAAAAGGAGGTACATATAACTATTCTGTAGTAAGCCCAGATAGCTAACATATAACCTTTCGCTCAAAGTCAGGATGTGGGCTTATTACAGGACTATAAGTCCATACCACTAACACATAACCTCTCACTCAAAGTCAGGGTGTGGGCTTATTACAGGACAATAAGTCCATACAGCTAACACATAACCTCTCACTCAAAGTCAGGGTGTGGGCTTATTACAGGACAATAAGTCAGCTAACACATAACCTCTCACTAACACATAACCTCTCACATCAAAGTCAGGGTGTGGGCTTATTACAGGTCCATACAGCTAACACATAACCTCTCACTCAAAGTCCGGGTGTGGGCTTATTACAGGACAATAAGCCCATACAGCTAACACATAACCTCTCACTCAAAGTCAGGGTGTGGGCTTATTACAGGACAATAAGCCCATACAGCTAACACATAACCTCTCACTCAAAGTCCGGGTGTGGGCTTATTACAGGACAATAAGCCCATACAGCTAACACATAACCTCTCACTCAAAGTCCGGATGTGGGCTTATTACAGGACAATAAGCCCATACAGCCGATACAACCTCTCACTGCGAGGATGGACTGAAATACCACTGATCACTAATTCTTCTGTGCAGCTTGATTTAGGTAGGCTTATTACCAGACATGGACTCATTGACGCATAGATATCCTACAAGAAATAACAATTTTACTAGGTTTAGAGTTTCTCTGGAGTTCATTTTTCCTTATACTGTTCCTTAAAGTATTCATTGATGTACTGACTGTCTGCTGATCTGCAAATAAAAAAAATAGAGTGTACATGAATCTTAATGGGTTTCCACTTCACTCTTCTATATATAATGGTAAATTATCAAAATATTATGAAGACAAATAGAACTACCTCATAAAGCATAAAAGAAATTATGATAGCAGTTGATACATGTATATACTGCATGAATTATACACTAAAATATTTATGATCTTTCTAACCAGATGTGGGAACACCTCTCTTAAGTGTTATTTCAGATCAATATCCTAGGAAAAAGCTAATTTATGAAATGTATTGCTGTTTTGATTTTGTGTTTTTTTTTTTTTTGTTATAAAAAATTATACAAAAAGGTATAGAAAATCTTACTTGTTCTCAATTTTGTCCGATTCATATTTGAAAATGTTCACAAACCACTGATTATCTCTAACATGAACAACCAGGGCTAGGTTTTTAAGGTTGGCCAAATTCCAAGAATTTTTCTCACTTTTACATTACATAACTTTCACTATTATACAGATAGCTTTCTAATTAAAACATTTACCTGTTGAAATTTGATAGGACATAAAACTAGAAAATATCATAACATACTAAGCTTATATGGTATACATTAAATTTGATATTTCAATGTTCAAACTTCTCACTAAAACAATTCCTATCAAAACCATTTTATTACACAAGGTTTTTTCTACAATTTCTATAGGATCATGGACAAGAGTGTAGGCATGATAAGTATACAATTGTATTTTGATACTGTCCCCATGCTATAATTGTTGTATAATAATGTTGGTACTGTCCCCATTCTATAATTGTTGTATAGTAATATGTCGGTACTGTCCCCATTCTATAATTGTTGTATAGTAATATGTTGGAACTGTCCCCATTCTATAATTGTTGTATAGTAATATGTTGGTACTGTCCCCATTCTATAATTGTTGTATAGTAATATGTTGGAACTGTCCCCATCCTATAATTGTTGTATAGTAATATGTTGGTACTGTCCCCATTCTATAATTGTTGTATAGTAATATGTCGGTACTGTCCCCATTCTATAATTGTTGTATAATGTTGGTACTGTCCCCATGCTATAACTGTTGTATAATGTCGGTACTGTCCCCATTCTATAATTGTTGTATAGTAATATGTTGGTACTGTCCCCATTCTATAATTGTTGTATAGTAATATGTTAGTACTGTCCCCATGCTATAACTGTTGTATAATGTTGGTACTGTCCCCATGCTATAACTGTTGTATAATGTTGGTACTGTCCCCAATTTTATAATTGCTGTATGCTAGTATTTTGGTATTGTCCTCAAACTATAGTTGTCAAATGGTATTTTAGTATTCTACATTAAACATATGAGGGTACTTACTCTGAAGTTCGTCCCATTATGTAGTCATCATACGCATTTCTATAGGCCCTTTTACGTAAATTTGGGTCGTCATCAAAGGAAGATAAACTGAAATAAAAAAATCACATCTTCTTAGTTATCACACTAGTTAATACAGATAGATTCAAGCTTACAACAAGGGCTGTCACCATGTGGCTGGCAAGTACACCCCATCTGCTTTGCCAAGATTATCAATTACAACAAATATACATATTCAGCTGACAAAGAATTGTTTAACATACCGGAGCATAGTTCTGTGAAGTGGGTACCATATACTTAGGAGAGATATCAACATAACAAAATAAATATTGATTACATTATGATTATTACAGGATTCCATTTAAAAAAAGAAAGCAAAGTTTAGACAAATTTGTTACATAAAAGGGCATAATTCTTCCAAACAATACACGGATGTGTCTCCTGCCAAGCAAGGTTACTGGAGATGAGATGGAACAATAGCCCTAGATGTATTTTGTTTCATTTATGTAATTACATTAGTTTGAGATGTAATGAGTAAACTTGCATACTAGATTTTATAAGGAAAACACAATTTGAAGTAATAAATATAAAAACCTGTCAAGTTTTAGAGAAAACAGTGAAAAACTGATGAAGGAGATACAAATCATTAATGCCTAAAAAGGGCAATAACTCCTTCAACAATTGTCAAACTGTTGTGTAGGAAAACATATAACATCGTGCCATAGTGATCAAGTTTGATCCACATGATATTAACATTATGAAAACAACAAAGGTCAGTAACTCTTGCAAATAAATTTGAATAAAACAGACATTCAGGAAAACACAACTTCATGTCATTGTTTTAGAATCTACCACATTTGATATCTAATGGCCCATCGATTTGCCCCCAGTAAAACTGCACCCTCAATAATGTGAAATTACCCCTCGTACATTATTGATGATATTGAAGAAAATTACTTAAAGCTCTATATCTGTACACAGGAGAAATCTTAATGATCCCCTCTATTTCCTTAATTGAAGCAAGTTTTCAGTTCCAAAGGCGGGCATAGCCTCTTTTCACACAAAATTGATTCCCTTAAGACCACTTATGCACCAAATTCATACAAAATTTCACCACTGTATCAAAATCTACATTGCAGTTCTGAACTTGTAGCATTTAAAGAAAAAAGTGCCCAGAGAAATAAAGAACACTGCATCACACCTTAAACTCAACAGTCCTTTAGACAGCTAAAACCATTATAATAATTCACATTCCTGATGATTTCTCCATATCAAAACATACTTACAGGAATAAGATATGGAGACCAATCATAATGGCTGCAAGAATTTTTACATCTCTGTAAAATATTTTCCTTGCATATTGTGTATTTGGAGTCCTATCCCTCAAAGTGTGTAAATACCTGTTAAGAGAGAAAACATATTTGTAACATCAAACGCATATTCCTGTAAGTTTGTAAGTACATGTTGCTACAAAATACTGTCTAATCTACATGAAGGCCACCTTTATATATAATATAAGGTCAGCTATCTATAAAGGCTGCCTGTTTCTGTGCTATGCAAATACAATTGATAGCAATTGAACTTCTGTCTGTAAAGACCTCTTTAGGTGCTCCACTGACTGGCCTTTGTAGACAGGAATAATAGTATTATGTCAGCAGTTTTACCTTTGACCTTCACCTTGATCTAAAGCTACCAATACCACTGCACTATAACGTTTGAACTCAACCCTGTACTGCAGGCATCCAAAATTAACATACGTGCACAATGAAAGTCAAATGAGTGACACCTAAAAATGACCACAATAAACGTATATTGATAAATTAGATGGTTTTAATTCAATCAACATGATGCGCTGCTCACTCTAACAGCTCATTAACTTAATTCTTCAGTTTTATGTAAACCAATGCAAGTGATGCCTAACTAAATTCATCATGCACTTTCAAAAAAAAAAAAAAAGATGATATTGTTGTCACTTTATACTTTTCTCACCAGGAACCTGAGTAAGGACTTTAGTTTTGCATGTGCCTGTTTGTGTTTCCACTACCTCTTACACTACTTGTCACTGACACTTCATTCTTTGGGTATATGTTAACTTAAGTGTGTCATGTACTAAAGTAGCTCACTCTGACCTACATTAGGCTTTCGACCGACACCAAAGGAAAAGTTTGTTTGGGGTCTATTTCCTATTCTAATAGTCACTGGAATTTCTAACTTTGGACATGGATTTAATTGCAGTGCATTTTGGCATATATTTTCACATTTGATAGGGGACTGTCATTCACCAAATATTTTTTGCCAACCACACTAAACCATATAGATTCAATCATTGCTGAAAACAGTAATAAATTGAGGATCAAGCTGTTTGGCATTGAAAAGTTGAAATTCCTGTTCATTCAATCATAAATCACTTGAATCTTGAACCTGTTTTGAAATATTTTTTGTTTACTTGTATTATCATAACATTGTGCTTTTAAATATCATGTTCATATAGTAAATTATGTTCAAAATTATACACATACCAGGCTACAGCATGTTCATTTTGAAATCTTGATTTGTAAGTTTCATCATTTTCACCAGGGTGTCTTTCAGGCACATAATAATCATGTTCCTTAAATGTAGACCCAAATGTGACTGTGTCATATATTTTACGAAGTTTTTCATCAGTTAGACATGAGTAGGCATCATTTATGGCAGAAATTCTTGCTGTAGCTGTAGAGTCTTCTTTGTTTACGTCAGGATGATGCTGAAAGAGAATTAAGATAAATTCACATTTAACCAGCATTACAGTAAAAAGGGAATAATTAAAATTGATGTAATGATAATTGAACAATCCTTTGTCAGACCTGTAAATCCCACTATATTTTAAATTCTATGATGAGAACTTATGCAGACATATCTCATAAAAGTTATAATAGTCTTTATACACTAAATGGACAAAGTAGTTCAGTAATTTTGTAGCATTTCCAAAATTTTGAGGAGTCTCATCAATTAGAGACCTAAAATACAGTCAGTAAAATCATACTATCGATTTTCGGATTCTTAAAAATTTATCAATGTGTGATGTACCTTTTTCGACAAAGTGATGAAAGCTTCCTTAATTTCCTTTGTTGTGGCATCTCTGCCTATCCCTAGAGTGTCATAATGCGTAATATTCACAAACTCATGACTGAAACAATGCAAAATACACACAAACTCTGGTTTGAAACAATGCGAAATATTCAAAAATGTTTGAAACAGTGCAAAATATTCACAGACTTGTGTCTGAAACAAGATTTTATAACATGTCACTACACTTTTTCCTTTGACTTAATGGGATTCTTAAATAATCAATAATGATTGATATTATTAATTCATATTTTGGATTCATTTCCCAATTTAAAAGTGATTCTGAAAAAAAAAATTGCCATGTTAGGTTTCTATGAATCTTCATAGTTGCAACATTACCTTAAGTTGAACTCTTAATATCAACGCTATTAACTAAAATGCTGTGTAATAACACACAGTGATAGATATAGTTGCTGGTGTTGTGGATGCTGAAAAGATTTGGCAAAATACAATTTGTTGTAGTCATGTTTCACTCAAATCTTACCGCTTTAGCTTAGTTGCATATGCTGCCTGGGTTTGTCTGACTAGGTTTGTACGATTAAAGAGACATGAATGTCTAATCAAGCCAAGTCTGCTTGTCAACAGTATGCACTTCATGGCAGCTGACTCATATCACACCTGTAATATAGATTTGCGGTAAAACCATTTTGTCTTAATTTGTTTTTTCCTCCGAAACTTTCTTTTCGTTGAATGAAATTAATAAAAATGTTGCATCGGATTTAACTTTATTATTATCATTTTAGATCATCAAAATATAAATTTTGTTATTCGGTAATGTAAGGAGTAACCCCAAAACACTTTGAAACTATTAATGAAATCGCTAGTCCAAAGGGTTCTAGCCATCTAGAAAACAGTCTTTGACATGTTCGATATTCATCACTGCTTTAAACTAGGATAATGTGAAAACAGTCAGAACCATTGGAAATATTATACATTATTTCTATTGCCGTTAATCAAATGAAACTTCAGTTTATTTGGACAATGTGTAATAAATTTAGAGACCGATCTGACATTGACCCTGGCCTACGTGCTTACCCTAAGTCTCATGCCGATATCAATTTGAAATATTTTACATAAATTGACAGCCATACCAAATGATCGCATTATGTTTACTTTTTTATCAAATGAATATTTCCTGTTCATGCGTAATAAACTTTTATAAAGGAGACATGTATTTATGTACCTTTACTGACATAACATCTATTTATGTCGCTGTCGCCGTGAAGATCACCGGATATTTCATTGCCAAGACTAATATTCGATACGTGAACGGAATCTCTCAGTTCCGCTTTCTTTGTCTTTGAATGCTATTTTTCAGCTACGAACATATATTCTGCTGTTGATATCTAGTGGATGTATTGAAGTTGATTATGACCTGTTATACTGGCGGGGATATTATTGCTATTTGTTGTTGGTAATAAAGGAAAAAACCCTAAATGACATGTTTGTCATTCCTGATACCATTACAGTTGGTGTACATGTGCAAAGATATCCAAAAAATGGTTCAAACGCAAATGCTTCCCTTGTCAGCACACTGCATCACAACTTTGCATTTATTCATACTTTTATATTTAAATTATATTTGAATTCATGAAATACAGATTTGAATTCAAGAAGTTTTTATTTGAGTTGATAAATCCATTTTAGTTAAAAAATACTGATTTTAATTTTAAAAACTTCATTTGGATCAATTTTTTAAAAATTAAAAACATAATAAAAATTACATATTTGGAATCAAATAAATTTCATATATACATATATATATATTTAAGGCCCTCACAAGTCTCTGAAATAATTGGTTGTCTGAGTGGGACAGGGATTGTGCTCATAAGCTTACAGCTATTTGGTATGTTAGGGACAGATAAGGTTGGAACAGGTGGGGGATGGTGTTTTGTAGATTGTTTCCACATCAATGGCACATTGATTTTCCCTTGTGAATGAACATCCATAACACCATTAACTAATGCTTAAATACCATACACAACATTATTAGTTGGTAATTTTCACATTTCATTACTTTCATGATTTTCTTTTAAAGCCATCAAATTGTATTTAAACAAATCAAAATTTTGTAATCTGGATGTAAAACGCCAACTAATACACTCATGTCTCATTATTTTACCAATTTAATTTTTCTGATTATATTAATGTACTGTAAAGAAGTGAAAATATTATCCTCGCGAAAATAACCAGTTATACATTGGTCTTCAAATATATGTATTTTTATTCCTAATATATATATAAATATAATCTAAAGATAGATAGTGTAGAAACTCTTTGGACATCCTGTTTTACATGGTGTTTAAGCTCCATAAGAAACTATATCTGGTTTGTTTGGCTAAACAGGGTTTGTGTGGTCCTCTTCACCTGACCCAAGAAATGACCTAATAATAAACAAAAAAATCCTGATTAATCCTTTACTGGACTTAATTGTGAATTTGTACCTGTTCAAGATAATCCATCAAATATTCCTGGTGGACCAGTTCATAATACTCCATCATGAGTACCTAAAAAGATAACCCATAGGTGGACTTATTCACAATACTCTATTATATGTGTGCCTGATAAAAAAATCCAAGTGTGTACTTATTTAAGATAATCCATAGGTGAACCTGTTCATAATATTCCATTATGAGAACCTGATAAGATAAGATAAGTAAGTGCTACTTCAAGATAACCCATAGGTAGAGTTGTTCATAACATTCTATTATATGTGTACCCCATAAGATAATCCATTTGTGAACTTGTTCAAGATAACCCTGGTAGACCCATTAATAACATTCTATTATATGTGTACCTGTTCAGAATCATCCTTGGTGGACTGTTTGTTTTGTATGTGTATCCTATTAAAGTTATGACGGATTTTGTCATGTAATTTATATTTTTTTGTGAACTTTTTTTCACTGACGGTCATCATTGACTTTTAGATATGATGGCAGATGGTGGGTTACCATGCGTAGTTCCTGAAAGCCCAAACCTGTGAGCGACTTCCATTTATTAGATTGTCAAATATTCCTGGAACAGTTGCATATGTAAAAGATGTGGGTAGGTGTGGCTTGTATATAATGTTAATTGTGGTCTCTGTCAATCAGCTGAAGGGTTGATGAGGCTTGTATATAGTGATAAATACGGTCTCTTTTACTCAGCTGACAGGTCAGTGTGGCTTGTATATGGTGTTAAATACAGTCTCTTTCACTCAGCTGACAGGTCAGTGTGGCTTGTATATGGTGTTAAATACAGTCTCTTTCACTCAGCTGACAGGTCAGTGTGGCTTGTATATGGTGTTAAATACGGTCTCTTTCACTCAGCAGACGGGTCGATGAGGCTTGTATATAGTGTTAAATACGGCCTCTTTCACTCAGCTGACAGGTCAGTGTGGCTTGTATATAGTGTTAAATACCGCCTCTTTCACTCAGCTGACAGGTCAGTGTGGCTTGTATATAGTGTTAGATACTGGCTCTGTCACTCAGCTGACGGAGCATGCTTCTTGAACTCAGTTGGTAGAGCCTGTTGATCATCATGCCAGAGACGCAGGTTTGATTTCTAGTAAGAGCACTTGACAGGAATGCAAGTTTTCCCTGTTCTTTCACACATGAAAAAAAATTGCACCTGTGTTTCCATTCTTTCTGTCAGGAATTTCCACCTACATCAGCAAGGGCCGGTCTGGAAAGATGGTGTTCTTGCATGGCTGTAGTAGATGTGTCATCTTAAACCATAAGGGATGCCTTGACATTTTGGCGCAGGAATTACTGTGACAAACTGAAGAAGACCTCACAACTTGATGATCTGAAGTCATCTCTATAGTAAAATAACAGAAGCCATTGAGTTAATTAACGATGCATATCTTGATGTCATGCAGAAGAATATCTCAGATAAACTGTCTTAGAGTGAGTGAATCTGCAGATACCTAAACCGAGGTGTGGACAGCTGATGTCCTAAATTAAAAACACAATAGAAAACTCATAGATGGCAGTCGAGAGAAATGACAGCAGACACGATATTGTTGTATCAGACAGGCAAGGCAGATGTGGAATCCTGTCATTCGCTAAGAAGAGAAATAAGGAAGTCATTCACCTCTGTCTGAATTACACACCTCATCCAAGCCAGTCTTCTTACTATGGATAAAGATATTCCACTGTCCTCAGGAATTGTTAGGGTAGAGAAAAACAAAAGCAATTTCCAGATGACACAAGAATCTGGACTTCCTTATTCCAAAGTTGTGTGAAAGAGGTTGTCAAGTTCAGCTGTTCTTCAGAATACACATGTTGCAGTTTATTTGGTATATTTTACCTTTGATATAATCATATTTTCGTGTCTGATTGGAACAATTTCAAAAACAAATTGTTTGCCACTTCAGGGAAGCATCTGGATGAGATAATGCTTGGACTACCTTTTGACTTTTTTTGTAAAGATGATCACACTGTAGCAGTCACTATTCTGAATTTTTGGTATCCCTATCATCAAACTCCACCACTCAAAATCACAGGAATTTGGCACAAATTCAACTTTCCATTGTTAGGATGAAGGGTTAAAATCAAGGCCCCATATTTCCATTGTTAAGATGAAGGGTTAAAATCAAGGCCCCATATTTTCATTGTTAAGATGAAGGTTAAAATCAAGGCGCCATATTTTCTTTGTTTAGATGGTTGAGAAGTAGAGATAATCTGTTTTGTGTCAATGTATTGGGGAATGCAAACAAAACCTATGGTGTTTTGGTTTTATTGATAAGAGACAAACAATTTTCGTAATAACAGAAGAAAAAGTTTGATTAATGTCACACTAACAAAGAAACAAACCAAAATTGAAATGGTTTAAATATTTTATCTCATTATTCACCCTTTGAAGTGTATATGTTGACAGAGCATTCCAGTATACGATGTAGGAGATATGTACATAACACAGATCTATCTATATATAAAACTTGCATACTGGCTTACATAAAACCAATCCGAGACATTTGCAGATTTCATTACTTTATGTTAATTCTCTAAAGCTGGAGAACTATCAAACCTTTGTAACCCAAAAAACAAAAATCAATGGTATTACACTTTTCAGGAAATTGAGCATTAATTTTGCATTCTAATCAAATTTATATATTTATATATATTAAAATCTTACACTAAGTCAGACTGAAGTATTGTTCTTGTTTCTCTCTACTGTTAAAAATAAATAAGTGGAGACTACTATGTAGAATGGAAAATTCTGTTTCCTGATGATGTATTCCATCAAATGGGTCGTTGGGTATTGGTCTCTTGCTCGCATTCGTACAAACACTTCAAATTTACCTTAAAATATCCATAACTCAAAAAGGTAGCGTATAAATATCTCGACTTAAGAAATGCATTTGTTTCCAACTAAAGGTTTATATCTGGCAGTTCAGTTACAGATCTGAAACCTTTATCAGGTGAAATACTGGTGATTTATACAATTGTACTGGAAGTCCTGTTCTTTAAACAAATATATTATCAGTATCAAAATGATAACAATTAGCACTAAATTGTATGTGGCTGACATAAAGGCCACAGGTAAGTAAACTTTACAATACTATAACCCTCCTACGCTAATAACATTATGCAGTGACAATTGTGCACATTACATGCTTACTTTGTGTGGCAGCATTTAGCAATCATACAGAGGTAAATTTGTTTTCTAATTTATCATATATACAGATTTCGTCTGAAATGTCTGTCCAATTTACCTTTCATAAAATTACCATTACAAATACTACATCTGAAATGTTTTATTTCAACATTCTTTGACCTAAAATGGCATAGTGAGGGGATAATCGAGGAAACCTGCTGCCTATTTTCTGTGACCCAATTACTACATCCTTGTCAATCATCAATCCAGGGAAGTTTAAAAGCTGAACAACTGTATTGTGTATTGATATCGGTCAAACAGTTCTACTGGGTCTTAATCTCCACAAAATAATGAAGAAGGCATTCCCCCTTTTCTTCTGTTTCAATCTTTCACCAACAACTTTGCAACTAAAATTTCAAAACAACTCAACAACAGGACCATGAACAGGATTCCATTAGAACTTCTACTTAGTTCTCTTTACAATGGCAGCTCGAACTTCACATCAACCTCAGCCTCCTTAGCGATGCTAACAATATAGGACAGCTTCACCACCTGTCAAGTAATCAAATAGGTTCTTAAGCAAACCAATCAAATGAGTTCTTCCAACACATTAGCAAAATCAGAAATTATCAGACACATCTATAAGATCTTTACTTTAATCATGCAATCTAAATGGTCAAGCTACTACATTAAGTAAATTTTTTTTTCACAGGGACAGTTAAATGATAATGAAAAAAAAATTTAACTTGACCTCTGACCCAGTGACCTTTACTTCTTACCTGATTTTGTTCAACATGATTTCATGTTCTTATAAAAAAATTATTAAAAATTACTTAATTAAAAAGATTTGAAATCTGAGCTCAGACCTAGTGACTTTTACTTGTAGGCAGACAAATTTTCATAATGATAATGTCACAAGAAAGAACTGATCAAACAATGTTTAATCAAAAATCTTGTAATAATATTGGTGACATTCACTATAGTACAATAAACAATGACTGATTGTAATGTATATATCTGAACTTGTTCAAATGTGTGGATGGGGACATATTTACTGGAAATTGTGTATCTATTTGGTATTTGAGTATGACGACCAAATCTAAGTGCAATGCAGCAAATGTACACCATTTGTTGATGATAAAATTATGTTAAAGCTATGACCCAGGTAAGATAAAACAGAAAACTTGGAAGTTTGCATTATTTCCATTATAATCTTTTAAAGCTATAGTTAACTGTCTTGGGGTAATAAGAGACGCTAGAGTCATGGAAATCACAACTTTGGAAAAGTACCTGAAGACCTTACACCTGTCTACTATATCTTAGTCTTGAGAAGATTATTTTTTCTCCTAGAGATTAGGGAACAAATACTTCACATGTCTTATGTAACCTGAAAAACATATCCCGAAATATACAAAAAAGATTTTATGAGAGTTCTCCTTAATTCATATAAAATTATCACTTGCCATTTTTGCAGCTTCATCTAAGTTATCACAGGCTATAATCTTCAGGTTACTGGCGGCTATCAGGGCCTTGGCATCCTCCACACGAGTCCCTGTGTCCAAAAACAAACACCATTAAACCACTGATTGATTGGATAATCAAAGATCTATATTATACTCTATAGGTTCAGGATTATGATGAGTAGTAATGCTATATCTATATAGTAGTATAAATTCTGGTAACACAAAGGAGTAGAGATATTCAGTATAATTTTCACTATTCACAACAGCATTTGATGAAAATTGAATTTTAGATGGGAACCATCTTGGGATATATTGGTAATCAACTGAGCTTGATCAATTTCACACTGAATAAGCCTGGTATTCAAGTTTTAATCATAAGATTCTACCACAGTTATATATTTACCATTCAAAATTCATTACCTTTGATGATCAAAACAGCAGAATCTCACTCAAATTTCAAGATATGCTGTTTTTAAATAACTTGATACAATTAATACTTTATCAATATGATAATTTTATTAATATAAAACTTAAATACAATTTTTACAACAATCAAAACTTCTGTCTGTAAACTTCAATTACAGGATTTTAAACCTTTTTTTTTCAAATTTTTATATTTGAAGCTTTGATTCTGAAGCATGAACCACACAATTTGAACAAATACAGTACTTAAACTACATATATCAAAGCTACTGAAATCATTTATGTAATTGACCACAGGATACCCACCTTGTAATCTTACAACAATTGGGATTTTGAGGTTGAGGACATCTGCAGCAGCGATAACACCCTGAGCGATAACATCACATCTCATGATCCCTCCAAAAATATTCACCAGGATAGCATCAACCTATGAATAAATTTGATAAAGCTATTATTGTGCCACAACAGTGTTATTCACAGGAAATTTAGGATTTGTTATCATGATTATGTTCTGAAAGTAGAACTTTAAATATGTTGAAAAGTGGATAGGAACTTTAAATACTGTAATCACTCAGTCAAAATTTTGTGCATGGCTGGTGTGTGTGTGTTGATAAGTTGAACTGATTGTTATAAGTACTATTAGCCTTTGTAATTAGAACTACAAATCATGAAATATTATTGTGATTAGTTTTAATACAGAACCACATGAAGTACTGCCACATAAAACATTTCTCCTGATCACAAAAACCATAAAGAATTTGAAAAGAATAAGCATTTAGACAATATTAAGTAAGATACATCTATTTTTTTTCAAATAGAGAGGTTATTAAACATCAGTTAACACTTAACACAACACAAAATATACTTCTTCTTAATAGCAATCTATAAAGCGGCAACATTTTAAATCAAAATACATTCATATCATATCATATCATGATGAAACTTTTCTTACGTTAGGGTCTGAGGTTATAAGACGAAAGGCCTCTGTTACTTGTTTCGAAGTTGCACCACCTCCTACATCCAGAAAGTTGGCAGGATTTCCTCCATGGAGTTTGATGATGTCCATAGTTGCCATCGCCAGCCCAGCTCCATTAACAAGACAACCAATGCTGCCATCTAGTCCAATGTAATTGAGGTTAGCCTCGGCCGCAATCGCTTCTCGCTTGTCTTCCTGTGACCAATCGCGCAGTTTGAATATACTCTCTTGACGGTATTCTGCATTGTCATCAAAGTTCAGCTTACAGTCCATACAGTAAACTGCAACAATTCAAAACACTTGATTAAGTTATGTCCATCAATGTGGTACTTACTGTATATACAACAATGACCTACACTGAATGACCTTCTGTAAGGGCTATCACTGTTCTATGTGAGACTGTCTGCTGAGTACAAGTGTGTAGTATGAGTTCTGAGGGTGTAAATCTAGTTAATTGACTTCCATAATGCTAGAGAGTGTTTGGACATAAATTGGGAGTTTCCAGAATCTTTAAGATTTTCTTATCTTCATTGTATATTGTGTTTATCTGGCTATACACCATGCTGGTAAGGAACGTTAAATTAAAAACAAAATCAATAAATTAATGAAGAAACAAGAGATCTCATAGGGATCTTGGCATCCACCATTCTTAGAACTTTATTTTTTTCTCTGTTTTTGCTCTTAATGATAAAAAATTTGAATATTCCTTTGCAAAAATAGCAAAAGTAATCTTTAACTACCAAATCTAAGATAGTTGATTGGAAGCTGTTTTGTTTTTTCTGATCAGTCCTGAACGGGCACACTAGAGACCAAGGAGAACCTAAGTATGAAATTTGAGAGAGAGCCATTCAGTACTTCTTAAGAAATGGCTGATAACAAACTTTACTAGGCAAAATCCAAAATGGCCTCCTGTCTGCTATTTTTGTTGTCTGATCAGTCCCAAAATCAAATGGGCACAACTAGATCAGTCCCAAAATCAAATGGGCACAACCATTGATCCAAAGGGAATTTACACATGACATTTTAGAAAGATCTATGCAGTATATCTCTCTCAAGAAAAAGGGATAACAAACTTTACTAGGTGAAATCCAAGATGGTGGCCTGTCTGCCATTTGGTTTCTCTGATCTGTCCCAAAATCACCAGACATAACTAGGGGCCAAGGATAAGTTATATATGAAATTTGAGAAATATACATTCAGCACTGATGATGGTGGACTAAAGACTGCCATGCAATTTTCTTTAAATATTTAGTCCAATCCCTGATTTTGTGTCAAATGTAGTATATTTGCAGCCTAGGGATATTGCTAGATAAAAACAACACAGTATATTGTGTTGTAGATTATATAACAAAGAAAGGTGTACTGGTTGTTACCATGTAGTCGGATAAATTAAACACAACAACAGAGCATTTCAGAGGAACACATCATAAATAAGCCTACCTTTGCCATTGGCATCCTCTGACATTGGGTTAATCTCGACCAGAGTGGAGTCATACTTCAGAAAGACATCATTATACAGCTTCGTGATAATATCTGCTGCCTGGAAAAATCAAAAACAGAATTAGATTTAACAATAGCATTGGAACAAAATGTCAAATTTCTATATCACATGAACAAAATCTGTCAATTATCTTTTGCTTGTTCATATTAATATTAAGAAAATTCCAAAGAAACACCATGTGCATATCAACAACACAATTGGAAATCAATTATGTAATAAAACTGATGATGGAGGTTTACAAGTACTTCAAAATTTACTGTGGAACACGAAAACTTAAGAAGTATAACTTTAAACAAATGACAGATAAAAGACATAAGGAGTTAAGTAGCAAATATCCTTAAATATACAAATAAGATCTAGTCTTTTACATTTACATTACCTGGTCTACACAGTTAGGACTGAAACCCATATTCACTGCAAGGTTAACTGCTAACTCTTTTGTAATTCCTGAAAAAATGTCTACTGGTTGTTTCAGAATAGCCGATGGATTTTCTTTTGCAACATCCTCAATATTCATACCTCCCTGTGAGCTCCCTACTAACACTGGCCCCTGTCAACAGCAAACGTTTCATCAGATATTTGGAAACATTTTGACTAAATGATTAAATAGCAAATAATGGTACATGTAAAACCATCAAAATATAATATCAAATACCTCAATGAACTTCAATAAGGACTGACTTTCTATTTCATCTAGATTTTCAAAAGATAATTACAATTTAACTTGATTAAGTTGAAGAACTGGTGAAAAATTTACAGATATCAACTGTAGTTTTCCCCAATAACCTAGCCAAAACAGAAAGTTAATACTTATATTTACCGTTTTTCTTCAGTAAAATATTATTTTTTTTTGTATTTATTCAAAAGTTTATAGCAACAAAAACATTCAGTTTGCTGGCTAAAAACCACCATTATGGAATAGCCTATAGTTTCAGTCTTTGTTATATCAAAACATCAAAATGAACAACAGTTTTTTACATTTCTCATATATATTCACACATCATTTGCTAAATACAAACTTTTAAAATCTATTCTACTGAGATACCATCAAAGAGAATCGCATAAGTTTGACATAAGATTGGTATAAGGACTATATTTCAAACAGACTTTCTTTTACGAAGGCATTTTAAAAACATGAAAAATTCAAGTTTTGATTTGATGTTATATGGGAGTCTTTCATTCATCACGCCATATCACTACACACATGAGAGAGACTGTCATTATCCATGTATAAAGATTATAGAGTAAATCACAATGGTAACAATAAATATTATTAAATAATTTTACAACAAACTGGAAGTACAATAGTATCAAAAAATTATACTGAGTAGTATGCATAATTTTTTTTTCCATGTTAAGTTATTTCTTCAAGCTTTCTTGTTTGATAAAAAGAATTATTCATAATTCACATTTCAATCATATAAGTATATATTTCTAAAATTCAGGACTTACAGCAAATGATCTCTCCATGGCAATGGCAAAATAGAACTCTCTCCGTGAGTACAGTCTCTCAGACAACATGACTGTATCACATATTCTGCCAAGTGGTGCCTGTTTTGTGATCAGGTTGTACCCTAACATTTGTTCTGAAATTTTCTTGGCTTCCTCATCTCTGGTTAAAAAAAATACACAATTATCTCCCTTAGGCAACAGCAAAATGAAAATCATTACGGTATTTGTTTAAGATCACTTTTTCAAGTAAAATTGTTTATGCATTTTTCACTTTCAACATTGAACAAATTAGGACAGAATACTTGCATTCTTGCCAAAGCAGATGAATTTTAAAACAATTCCCCTTTTTCTCCATTAGGAGCGTCAGACCAACTGTTAATACACAATTTAGTCCATTTCACCAAAGGATGCTTCAAACTAAATTTAGGCAGGATCAAGCCATTCCTGTAGAAGAAGGACTTTAAATATTTTTGCTCTTTTTCCCCTTTTGGGCCCCACCCCTCCTGATTCAGTGGGCTGATACCCTTCGTTTACATAAAACTCATTCCCCTTCCCAAAACAATGCTGCAAACCAAATTGGGATAGAATCTTGGCATCTAGAAAAGGACAATGATTTTAAACTAACCCACCGGTATTCCTCTATCTCCACTATTGGACCCCACACCCAGTAGGGTCAGGCCCAACGTTGATACAAAATTGAGAAAAATCAAAATCTGTTGAGCCATTCCAGACAAGTAGTGTTTGAAATATACCTTTCTCAAACCTCTCCGTGTGATAGGAGATAAAATCAAAGTTTAAAGCTTGTGGATATAAAATAAATTGAAATATAACTGAAAATAAAGCTTACAAGTCATACCCACTAAAACAGAATATCAGTCTATCAACTATTTGAACTCACGAGAAACAAATCTTGACACCTCCCTGAAGACCACTAGTGAAGTGACCCTTGCCTCGTCCTCCACTTAACACTTGTGCCTTTATAACAACATCTGGTGCTCCTGTGGCTTTGACTGAAAATCAGGTAGAAACAAACACAGGTTAACTAATATCATAACTGAAAGTGTCACCTGAAAAAAATCCTTTTACATTGATATTTCAGATTTTGTAACTTTAACCCAGAAATGTCTTACCACTTTTTTGGTAACATACATAGCACATGTATATCAGTTCATATCAGAGATTATTAAATATTATTTTTATAAAAAATGCAGGACAATGCCCATATACAGTGATGGATTATGAACAACCACTGAGCACATTTTATCCTTTGATAATGTCATTAGAATTATCAACTGACAAGTTTGTAAAATATGTTGAGATGGAATCTAAAAATTTTAAAACAAAAATTGTGAACAGTTCAATTGTAGTATACTGGACCAAGTCAAAGACATGTTTTACTTTTTCTCGGTAATGATGCTGATAACACATGCAGGGTATTCATGATGTAAATTATCTCACTGACAGATTTATATCAGTGAATGCCATGAAGAGAACCATCAAAATGTCAGCTTACCAAGGTCTGCAGCCATCTCCTGCACATCTGCTGGATTCCCACATACTCTGTACCTTGGTATGGGGATATCAGCATCCTTCAAGATGCCAAAACTAAGGTATTCATGAATGGAAAGGTTCCTTTTCTGCTGTTGGTGTGGAGTACATGATGCTGTGGGAGAAAATGCAGCTAGCACCTGGCAAAGAGAAATGACTAGTTAGAGTTATATCTCAGTAATGCAAGAGCATCTATTAGTAATTACTGACACAATAAAGATAACACCATTTCCCCATTTTTAAGTATTTTGGGCTTTGAAAAATATCAATATTTCATTATTTACAACCTATGTGAATTACCTTATCATGTGCCTCCTTACCATACTCACCAATTGTTTCTCATTAGTGATGTCACAGTCAACAACATAGAACAAGAACTGTTGCCAGGATAGATGACTAATATACTCCCTACTACCCCATCAACATTTGATCACCTTATCTCTCAAATACTTTGCTTGTAATGTGTCCAAACAAAAGTACAATGAAAGCTATCACTAAACAAAATTTAATTAAAAAGAAAAAATAAAGAAATGTCCTATCAAGTCTACATAGTAAAAGGGATGTAACTCCCATAAAAGTAAACACATAAAACAAGAAGCACATGAACACAAAAATAACTGCGGGTGCAACTTCAATGTGTACTGATTACATCAATGGGATATCACATGTCATACACATTATGATACGGTGAAAGCTGGAGTAGTTGGCTAGACAAGATCCTGTATATGGAATAGATAACTTGAAAAAAAAACAACATGTGGCAACTTCATTGAAAGGGATACGGTAGAGAGTATATTTGTAATTTTCATCACATATACCTGCAGTTGTAAAATAGTCAAAAACTGTCTCATTTCAAGCAAGAGTCATAATATAAAATGTATTTCTAGGAGGCAATAGTTTGTGATGTTATGGAATATAAGACCATCATCGAATTGAGGGATATTGATAACAAATAATAAAAAATAATAACTTAGCAAGGTAAAAGGTATTAAGACTTGTATGGTATCTTGTTTCCACGCTTTACCAATATCAAACACTGATTTTAATTTAAACTGAATGTAGACTTCAACAATCGGTTGACAACCAAATTGAAGTGCTTATCGTCCGATCCTCGGCCTGTGTTCGTTTTGAGGAAACATATTATGGAACTCATAGGAAAATCAATAACAAAAAGCATAAGATAAAAGTGACTACATATCAAAATCGATAAAAAAACACTCCGTAATGTAAATCCTGCAAAGAATCCATTTTGTAAACAAATCAAGGACTCTTCAACATTTGGGAAGGACACACTTGTTCCTGCAACTTTGATATCATTTTAAACTTTCTTTTCTTGAAATCAATTCCAACGTTACAACATGGTTTCATAACTGTATTACCAGATTCCATGTAATATTTTGAAGAGCATTACCCTTTGGGTAGTCTGCAAATTAACTCTTTCTGCTATCCTTCCACCGGTCCGAAACAGAGCGGACGCCATATTTGAATGTGACGTCACTTCCTTTCTATCAATATAAATCCAAAAATGGAATATAATCCGGATTTTGCTTGTTGTTACAAACATGATTGAATAAAGAGACATTCTTTTGAAAATGATGTGAAGGCTTTGAAATTTTCATAGATAATGAAGTATAACGGTAGTGTTTGTATTAGTATTTTTATAATGAGCTGCTCTACAGTACAGCTGCCAAAAACACCGAGTGAAAATAGTTAAAATATGGCTTATTTAATCGAGATTTAAAAGATATAAAACATATTACTATTCATTCCCTATTTTCACATGGAACATATACCTCGATATCAAACGATACCAAGAAAAATATCTATTTTCAGATTAAAACAAAAAGAAATCACCAACAGGTCAGCCGTCAGATTTCCGAATTCAAATTAAATAAAACTACGGCAAAATTTGAACAAAGACAGGATTAACACGGAGACACTTGAAAAAGTAGGAGGAGATTTAAACCAGGTATTTATGTTTCCTGCTTCTTGTCAATCCAGGTGAGTAAAGTCACTTTCCCGTACATGGTAAACGACAACGCCTATAACATAACGCATATTAAGGATCTAGATTACCTCCCAATGATCATTCTGACGACTATTTTTTTCATCGACCTTCAGCTCTCTAAACCCTGCCATTTTAGTTGGTCAAACGACGACATATTGCTCAAAAATTAGGACATTTTAGAACGAGCCCTAAATACTGAATGAAATCCGACGTTAAAAAAATAAAAACAAAAAACAAGATGTCCGTAGGCCTTAAAAGTCATCTTACTATAAAGACCTATATATCTGATAAAACAACGTTAACGTTAGTGGGATAGGTTATCGAATGGTTAAAACAGTTCAGATTCAGAACGTTTTAACAGTTGAGGCAAACAAAAGGCCCAATTGGCCTTAATCGTTTTGTATATGTATAAGTAAACGTGAAATCCTAAACCTCAAGCATGTTTACCATAACCCAGGACCAATTATCTCATATCCGAAAATCAGACACATTATCTGATGGAATACTGGATTTTTTTAAAAATCAAGAATTCCATATTCTTTTTTCCTTGAGAAAGTGATTTCTGATATCACAACATGTTTTTCGACATAAGAAATATTTGTATATATTGTCAAGAATTATTTCATGATATTAGGAAGTAGGGCGCCTCATACGTCAGCAATTATTTTTTATATAATTACAGATAAAAGTTATGGTATATAAGTGAGACAGACTGATTCACATGGCATTTTTCGCGTTAAAATTCTTCCTTTCAAGTTAGTGAATATTTTTTCCAAGATAAAACACTGCAGTCACACAAATTTGAAAATGACATTTAACACTTGGATATAGGCCATCGTAATAAGGATTAGATTTTCCGATTCCTAATACTTGAATCATAAACATTGTTTGAAAATACATTTACTTCCAGAATTTATCGAGTTATCCTTATAAACGACAGAAACTTAAACAATATCAAAGATTAAACAATCACTGTTCAATAAACATTACCCAAACTCTGACTGGTAAACCTCATGTAACATAATTATATCCTTTCGGTTCGTTGAAATAATTAGAAGATTGACTTCAATAAATGTATTATACTATCTTCTGCTTTGGATGTGTCGGAAGATTATATAAGGGAATTTGATACTGTATAAATTGAATAGTGCTTCCCTCAATAAGATAAAATATCTTAAGTTGATGACGGCTGTTATAGAATTTTTCTATCTACAATATAAGTTCTATGTAATCTCGCATATAGATCTGTTTCCTTTTTCATCATTTTACTTCACTGTCCAATCATCGTGTACTTGAACACAACTAACCCCTAGCAGGGCGATTTATCTTAAATTTTATAATAATGCATTTTGCTTTTATGAATTTTCTTCACAATGATTGACAACCAAACCTGCCGTTCGTATCCTATGATTTGTGTAAGTCCCCAAGTGAATGATGAAACTTATATTGATATTTCAAATAATTAGTCAGCACCGATTAAAAATCCTTGTCAAATTTCCGCTTGTTTCTATTTTTACCACGTGTATATACAAACATGCGTTAGAGGCGAGATTCAAATAGAAATGACGTCACGGTGTGTCACCTAAATGTTGGATAAACCATCGATAAGATATAAGAATCACATGTACAAACGTTGAATCAGAACACTATCAACCACAGGTAAAGTACACGACTGTTGTGAGGTTTCAATGCAAACTCATTTCATTTTATAATGCATAAGATCACCTAGCGCACTTAAACGATAAACTTATCAGTGCTGTCAGAGCCGTATATATGTCTCTGGTGCTGTTTATAGGATACAACTTATATTTTCTTTCCCATAGTACTTTATGTCGACGTTTTTATAATTTTATATACGATTGAACACTTCAAAGCAATACTCATACAAATCATATTTCACTGGAATTTGGTTTCAGAAAAAAGGACTTTAATTATGGATAATTGTCCTGAAATGTAAACACGTAAAAAAACTCTATCACATTAATGTATTTCACAAACTCGTCAGTTTGCTAAGCATCTGATATTTGATAAACAGAATCTCTAATTCATTCTATTCTATACCAGATTTATGAAATTTTCGTTTTACCTTGCCGGCGGTTTGGTAAAAAGAAAAATTGTAAGATTTTTTTTTTCAGAAAGATGATATTGTTAAAAATTTTCCTCCACTACATTCTTTTTAGAATTAGATCTTGAATGCTGGAAAAGAAACCGTTTCACTTCATACCATGTTCATAGTAAAACTTCCATTTATGTGGAATGGATTTTTAACAATGAGTTGAGAAAAAGTTGATGAATATGAATGAAATAGTTTCATTTAACATCTGTTTCAGTGCATTTATTATGGCTTGCCGGAAGTCACCAGTTTGGATTTTCTTAGTATGCTCTGCCCTGATTTCCGGATACATTATAGGGTGTGATTCCTTGAAGTCAAACAAACGTATACCAGACCATGACCCCGAGTGGACAAATGTGACCTCAACCATAGCGCGTGTATGTATACAACATGTCGGTTTCGGCGTTTTGTCTGATGGAGAAACATTTTTATTGATACAGGCGGGTAATGTTTCCGGCCAGTGTTACGTAGTAGTTTTATATAAATATCTATCAGGATTGTTTCGACGACATACTAACTTTGACTTCAGTTTAAAAATTCAGAAAACGAAACTAAATCAGGATTCCAATAATGTTGAGAGTGAAAATAAAAATGGTTTAGACTGGATTAATGGAAAGAGGATAATGAACTATAGGCCGGGTCAATCGCCTGATGAAATCACTAACCACTTATTTGCCGCGAACAGGACACTACATAGTGTAGAGGCACCATATCACACATTTAACCATGGAAAATTGGAGTTAAAAACAGATCTCAAATTATCAATAATTTTGCTCTGTATATTAACACGTATTGTTCTGATGGTTTATCCAACTTTTCAACATTACTTCAAACAGAAAAGAATAAATAATAGGAAAGAAAACACGTCGAACATCACTTATCTATATAATAGTTTAAAGTGTTATCTAGAATCTTCTCCGTTAAGTGGCCATCCTTACACTCTCAAGAGCAACTTTGTCGCGGAAGAATCGTGTCATATGAGAAGAAAATTATTGGGCGATGTCATGACAACATTATCACTTCCTCCATCAAACATTGTTATTGCACCGGTCACCAAATTAAATGATTATTTTGAGTCCATGTCTTGCCCAGACACGTCAGATATTGATGTTTCTTTAAATATCGAAATTCTAAGGATTGAGGGTTTTCGTAACTTTCCCCGCTCGGCTGAAGTAAGTACTATACGCCTTGCAGAAAATGGATTCTTTTATACTGGGGAGTCGGACGAAGTGGAGTGCTTTAATTGTCATGTTCGATACAGCGGATGGAAAAGGGGCGACATACCTTCTCATATACACAAACAAATATCACCCAATTGTGATTTTGCTCGAGGAAAGGAAACTACCAATGTTCCATTATTGCCGTCATCAAGTACAAACAGAGGGAATGATATGGCAAGTGAACGTTTTCACACGCGTGGACCACCAGATCTTCCAGAGGGAAGAAAGATACGGGATCACCAACTTCGATTCGAAGAGAGGTCACAAGAGGTGAGAAAAGACATCAGATCTTTTGATTCAACCGCACATAGTACCGCTAATGAAAATGGATACCATAGCAATGGAAATGTTGAGGTGTCGCACAAGAAAGCATCCGCGTCAAACATTTACAATGAAGTGCATGCAATCCAACCATATTTGGACAACAATAGTAGCAGACATAACGACTGGATGTCAAAGTATTCCGGAAAGCTAAAACTCCCACCACTGGCGTATGTAAAGAAAGCAATGATATATCCTGCCTATGCAATACCAACCATACGTCTTAGTTCATATAGTGGCTGGTCGTCGACTTCCGGTCTCCTGCCGAAGTCTCTGGCTGATGCCGGGTTCTTGTATGCAGGTAAGTATCATAGAATTGAAATATATTTCCTTTTGTATTTATACGTAGATGATATTACAATGATAGGGCATGGGTGTCATTGTATTGCAGTGGGATGACGGTTCAAGGTAATTGAATGTTTGGTTCGTTTTATATACGACCTTAAGATAAACTTAAGGATAAAAAAACCATTTTCGCAGTGTAGGATACGCATCTGCACAGAATGTATTTGTATCTAGAGTGAGGCCCATGGATATTTAAGGTGGAAACGTGTTTAGGAAATTGAGAGCGAAACCTCAAGATATTTCAAATGGAAACGGGATAAGGGAAGTAAGATGTATAACGAGAGCGAGGCCCTTTGATATTTCAGATGGAAAGGGGATTAGGAATCTAAGATGTGTATTGAGAGCGAGACCTCAAGATATTTCAAGTGGAAATGGGATAAGGAAAGTAAGATATATATTTCAAGGGCGAGGCTCCAAGATGTTTCAAGTGGAAATGGGATAAGGAAAGTAAGATATGTGTAACGAGATCGAGGCCCTTTGATATTTCATATGGAAAGGGGATTAGGAATCTAAGACGTGTATCGAGAGCGAGGAGGCCCTTAGATATATCAGATGGAAACGGGTTAGGAAAGTAAGATAAAGGAGGCCGCAACAAGGGAAAAATGAAATGATAAATAACGAAATCCCAGTGACGTAGCCAGACTACAGATGTGACACATCGGTCATTAAAAATCCAAATAAGTCTTAAAGACCTCTAGATTTAATTATATATATATATATATATATATATATATATATATATATATATATATATATATATGTATATATATATATATAGAGAGAGAGAGAGAGAGAGAGAGAATTAACTTAGCTTTATCATTGTAAAAGGTGGTTTTTGACTCATTTTAGGGCATGCTACATGATCCATTGGATATGAAAATAAGTACAAAACAACATAGCTTTTGTAACTTCAGGCATTACTATAACTAACAAGATATGTATTATTGATACATTACAAAAATACACCGCGAAAATAATGAAAAAGAGACCCATTGCATAGAAAGAATGATGATTAAAAAGCGTTAACAAGAAAACACTGTAATTGAATCAGGCATTTTCATGAAAAAAATCGCACCAAAGAGTGAAAATATTACAACAATTTTCTAAGGGAGACTCAAAGAATCACCTAGCGGGCAACCTCGACCGCTCGCCCTAGTCTGGCTCATCCTCGATACACCAGGGGTTACGACCACTTTCGCCCTCTGCATCACTGCGTCATGGCAAACTTGAAGGTTCCATGTGCGACACATTTTGGATTAGAATTATCCTTACACCAATTGAATCTCGAGGTCGCCTAACAGTATATTGTAGAGGCTTTGGAGTTGAGTGTCGCTCTTGTGTAATCTCAAAAGGAGCGTACCAGCCTGTGATTGATCAGCTTATTTTACATGTAGCCAATCAAATTACTTCGTCTTTAATTTTGCCATGACATGTCCTCGGGCGCACGTCGCCAGAGAATCAAGTCCAGTCGACTGGACAGTGCCCGGCGACGGGCAGAGTCACAGAGACGAAAAACAATCATTTTCATCTTCATCATCATCGTCGTTCTGGTATAACGATAACTTGACAGTCGATGGGGCCCGAGCATGGTTCTATGGCTACATGAGTATCGAGAATGAGTCTGGCTACCATCCTGCAATTAGTACGATTTGTTAGAATAATTAATTCTTTTGTTCACGGAAACTTCCGTGTCTCCAGTAACCTATACCTGAATTTAAAAACAATTCGATAGACAAAGCAAATCATTTTTATTCATACCTGTCTCTGAAGTGTGTTCATAATAAATAAGTTTTAGTTACATGTTATGCCCCGGATGTATGATAATAAGAATGAAAATAAGTTATTTGTAACCAGCATTATCAAACTAAACATGTTGGCGATAAAAAACCCCATAGAAAATGATAACTCCAAGTTAGATATAATCTTGTTTTACTAAATTCACTGTCTACCTCGTGCAATTACTGGAACCAGCAAAATGTTATTTGACAAGTGAGATAAGAAAAATAAAAAAGATACATTCGCTCATGGGTCTGCTTTACTATTGTTAACGAGAAGTTAGAATTTCCATCCGTTCAGCTCATTATGTACAAATATAATTTCTACTACCGGATGCGAAACTTATACAAAATACTACACGTATTTCCTTGTTGCGCTTCCTTGACATATTTTTAAACGTAATCGGTTTATAAATAGATTTAAAGTTTTCATAGTACACGTGTCATGTTACAGGTTATGGTGATCTGGTCCGGTGCTTTTGTTGTGGGGGAGCTCTCCGGAACTGGATGCCTGGAGACGATCCTTGGATAGAGCATGCTCGATGGTTTCCGGAATGTGTGTATCTTCGTCGGAGCAAGGGGGATAGTTTTATCATGCTCGTTCACGATGATGTAAATTTAACAGAGGTGAGATATCTAAATAAGGAAGTTGTTAATCTAGTACTCTGGCAGCTAGCTAAAATCCATTCTTAAAACTTGCTGGAAAATATGAATGAATGAAGGAAAGGCTGGTAATTTCCATCGATAGATCGTTGAATCAGACTTCCTCTATTACAAATGTATACATTATAGACACATACAAATGAACATATCTGATGCATAAATTTAAACAAAATAAGAGTAAATCAAATCAACATTAAATAGATTAAACAGTCACGGTATACTTATTTAAATGTAGTATTCAACTTGTAAGATGTTTTTTTGTATTTGGCATTTGAAAAGTTAATTAAACCAATAAAATATTATTTATTGCCTTTTAGGTGGTCCATCATGAAAACAATGTACCTTTGGCCACAAGTAATACAGGTAAGACAAAATAGCAGAATTTGGTATCTTAGAAAATACAAATGCACACTTTGATATTTCTTCAGGAAGCAACTTTCCTAATTCATCGGACTGTGTATATTTTTATGTTTTTTTTTCTCTTGCTCTAACAAACCTGTCAAACTATTGCTGAGACCACATGTAGATAAGGGGAACTACAATTGACGCATCGGCTTGTAACTGGTAGATGACTCGACCATTCAGTTACCTGATTACCACTATTAGTGTTTCATAACGAGTTTTCATTTCCTGCCATGAAGTTTTCAATGTTTTTGGTGCTTCACGCACAAGAATTACGCTTAACGTTACTGTTGGGCAAACGTCTTCGGTTTCCTTGACGACATAATTATTAATTTTGATTTACCATGATGTCTGTTACAGATTTCCCCCAAATATCTGAACCACCAAGCACGCACAGTCAAGATGTCGCGAGTCAGGACCCTTTCATACAGAGAGTAAAAGAGATGGGGTTTCCGATGGACATCATTTCTTCTGCTTTGTCATCACTTCGCAGACGTATGTATCTATACTTCAAAACTTTGTATACTGTATATGTCACGCTGGTCCATAAGTTAATAACGGATGATCATTGAATCTGTAATTTAAAAGAAATATGATTAAAAGCTAATTCTGACTGTATTTTTTAAAATCTTCTTGATATAACGTTCGAGAAATTTACAATGAATCTATAAAGAAAGCTTCGAAGTATGTCATAATTACAGCACTGCTTATTGCTCTAGGGTTAACTTCAATGTTTCAATGACACGCTGAGATAGATGTATATCATAGGTCTGCAATTTTAGTTAGATAATTCGCCGCTAAGTAATTCTCGAAAAAAAAGGCTTACCTTTTCAGTTAAAATACTTGAGTGTTTCCGTTTTTCTTTCAACGCCAGTTCCTCTCTTGGATGTGTTTCAGAAAGTAAGCCAGTAGACGTATACAACATCGTCAATGTAATATTATATTCAGAAACACCTTTCTTACGTGATGGGTTTGATGAAGTGGATAATTGCATTCACAGACAACAAATGGCACAGAAAAAAACGAGACAGGTTTGTGGTTAGTACCATGATGGAATTAGTTTTCATACATATAAACTTTTTAATTATAGTCAATGGTTCTTGGGGGAGGGGTTGTTTGGTTAATAGTTTGTCTAATATAAGGGTTACTTTACATGAAACTAGAACTTAATCACTAACAACAGATTTCTTAAATAAGTATAACAAAACGAATTTCACTACGACAGGAAACCATGTATTGTATGTAATTGTATCAAATTTCCGATTTTTCAGCTGAAAAAAGATGCAAGATTTGCCTAGAAGAGGACGCATGCGTGATATTCTTGCCATGCCATCACATGACGTGTTGTGAAGAATGCGGTTCAATCCTTCACAAGTGTCAAGTTTGTCGCCAGGCCATCAGTGGACGGCTTAAGTTTTCATAACAATTAGTTACTTTACTTGCTGCTCACTGATATTTCCATGAATTACTTTAATCATTATATTAATATAAAACGTGTATATATGTTCTTTAATTGAATCTAATGAGCCGAACTAAACCGAACTTTTCTTTATGTATGACTCCGGAAACCATTTACTTAATTTTGTAAATATTCACTATTTGTTTAATTGTATGCATTTCAGAAACTTTTAGTATCTTATTAAAAAGTCACTTTTAATGGGCCACAAGCCATGTTTATTATTTATATAAAGAACATTTTGACTCTATAATTTCTTGTGTATACTGATTAAGTACTTTGTACAGTACTAGTCATTAGTTTTTGGAAAAACTGTATTACATCGTTTGTAATGTCGCGGGTTATCTCCCTAGTCACAAGTATGTGTTGACTATGGATTTGTGAGTATGTTTCATATCTCTGATTATCTCCCCTAGTCACAAAGTGTTGACCACGGATTTGTTTGTTATGTTTGATATCTCTGATTATCTCCCCTAGTCACAAAGTGTTGACAACGGATTTGTTAGTATGTTTGATATCTCTGATTATCTCCCCTAGTCACAAAGTGTTGACTACGAATTTGTTTGTTATGTTTGATATCTCTGATTATCTCCCCTAGTCACAAAGTATTGACTACGGATTTGTTTGTTATGTTTGATATCTCTGATTATCTCCCCTAGTCACAAAGTATTGACTACGGATTTGTTTGTTATGTTTGATATCTCTGATTATCTTCCCTAGTCACAAGTTTGTGTTGACTACGGATTTGTTTGTTATCTTTGATATCTCTGATTATCTCCCCTAGTCACAAAGTGTTGACCACGGATTTGTTTGTTATGTTTGATATCTCTGATTATCTTCCCTAATCACAAAGTGTTGACTACGGATTTGTTTGTTACATTTGATATATCTGATTATCTCCCCTAGTCACAAAGTATTGACTACGGATTTGTTTGTTATGTTTGATATTTCTAATAATCTCCCCTAGAAAGAAATTGTATTGACGAGGAATTGTTTGCTATATAGAATATCGCGGCCTATCTCCCATAGTAACAAAATATGTTGATGAGGGATTGTTTGGTATACAAAATATATATGTTTATCTCCCCTAGTAACAAAATATGTGCTAGCGAGGAATTGTTTGCTATATAAAATATATCGGATTATCTCCCCTAGCAACAAAATATGGGCATTCGGTTTGAACACCTTTTTGTTGTAATTTTGTTTTACTCAAACACATTGAAGTCTTTAGGTTTTAAGTGTTTATATAAGTTTTAATACCGTGTTATCCTTACAAAATATCCACTGTGATCTACCAAAAATGGCGAAACACAGTGTAGTGATGAATTATTCATTATAAATTGTACTCCATAAGTCAAAACTGACTTATCTACATTCCTTCATTCGCTTCATAATGCTCTAATCGTCCATTCCATAATGCAGTTATGAGTTCGTTGATATTGAATTCAAAAGTATTAAGTTTTTGTACATGATTATATTATTAAACGTTTTTCATCGAATACAGTTTTCGTTCTTTGCATTCATGTTTGAGTAATCATGCTATGGGCATAAATCGTTAAAACATACAGGACGTGGCTGGATAGGATAAAATTGGTCGAACTGAATGTGAAAGTAGTTGGGGGATTAGTGGCACTAATATCAAACTTCAACATACACAATGTCTTTTGTTAAATAAAATTAAGTCAAGCATAAATCCGTGTCCTAAACTATATCATTATTCATATGAATTAACACGTTGCGTGCAAGTTACAGCAAAGTCCACCTTTAGTGTCTACCACCTGCGATCTCAAAGGATTTTGCAAAAGAAATATGGAAAAAAGCTTTCAATACAAATTTAGAGGAAGAAACTGTACAGCTATAGCTACACGACCTTGATCACAATGATCATAATGATCTCATTGAGAAATATTCCAGTGTTCAATATGGCGTTGGACGTGCTCATTTGTTTTGGTGCTAATACTATTGTTGTTTACCTTGTTCTTATTTAGGAACGTGACATTACTTCGGTAGCGGATGTCGTCAATGAAGCAAAAGACACTAACTCTACGAACCATCTGGCAATATTCTCCTTATACTTTTCATGAGTCTCTGTCTAAATCTTTCTTTTGCTCCTATTTCCACAAATGGGATTGAACTAAGATTGTGTTGACGTGTCAGCATTTTCTTTGTTGTTTTGCTACCTCTATTGAGTTCTAGTTGGTAGCAATTCTATTTATGTGTCTAATTTAATTATACCTTTTATACGTTTTGGTCGTTTTGGGTTGTTGTTAGAAAATGGCATGGGATGTCTTCGTTCTGACGAATAATTTCATAACAATTTTCCTCTACGTTACTCTAAAGCGTAAGTCAAAATTTATTTCAAAAATATAATTCCAATGTATGCTGTTTTTATTCTGTTCTGACCAGTTCTTGTTAATACTATGACCTGCCCGTACTCTTCACTTATAAACAAGGTAGACTGTAAGTGACAATAACGACATTTTCACGTGAAAGTTCATAATTGTCTACTTGGGTATCATATCAATCTCGCAAGTGTTAACAGAAAAGCGGCATGGGAAAAAAACTGAGTAGCTGTACGGTAACGTAAGTTACAGTTTACCATTCGGTGTTTCTGACTTCAGTTTAGATAATGGTAAAATTGTTCTCAAAATATATTTATACTGTAAATCTTTTGTAAAGGAGTGCCTAAAGGTCCACACGAGTGGTCATTTTATAGGATTCTCCAGTTATAGTAGGACAAGAAAAGTGGAAAATAACTGCAGGAGCTAGGATAATTAAAATGTACTTTATGTATTGATGATTTCAAAAAACTTCAAGTACAAGACTTTTTTAACCGGCACCACAGCTTAAAAATTGTTTTTTCTGCAGTTGGTGTTGTCTTTGGTGGAAAACACCTGCCACACAGCGAAATCAGATCAGTTATTCAGATCGCCCTTTGTCTTGCGTCGTGCTTCGAAAACTTTTAATATTTCTTATTTCTTCTGGAAATTCTCTATATCATTTTCAATAACGTTTTGCAGAAACCTTCCATGGCCAATGGTGCACCAAAATTGTAAATTATATAAAATGTGGCGAGACCAAATACGGTAAAATTTATTGAACTTCAAAAGTATTCTTCTTAATACCCAGGTATAGAAAAATCAAATGCTCTTCTGGGATTAAAGTGTTTTAATGTGCTTTACCCAAATTGTAAATTTCATGACCTCAGGGTCTCATATTTCCCCTCAGGAAGGGGTAAAATATTACCAAATTATATGTAGGAAAATAACATAATTTGTATATAGTCAAACGTATTTCAAATTATTAGCATAAGACGACAGCTTGATGATATGCACGTATTAATCCAAGGGCTTATGAGCGGGGTCAAAATGGTTCACCTTGACTCAGATTTCAAAAATCTTACCCAGATATGATCTATCAAATACTGTTCATGGATGGAAGATTTAATATAGGAAAATTACATTTTGAGTGTAATTTCTGTTAATTCAAACGTGGTTAGAAGCCTTAGCATGGGATGGCAGTTTATGTTATGGACAGTTAATATTTGTATTACATATTCAATGTAGAATGTATTCCAAGTTATCTTACTTTATTAACAAGATAATTTCTATAACATGTTACAAGACGAACGCCAGCATTGTTTCACTGTGTTCGGTGGAGACGAAAACATGTGCAATTTAGCAAAGCACATTTAAAAATAAGTGATATATCACATCCAGTTACTGATGTACATCTTGTGGAAACAGAAAGGTAAATATCATTCTCTATTAACTAGGTAACTTTGTTAGTTATCTTAATCTTGCTTTCCGAAAAGTTAATTGCCCTGCCTGTGATTGTGGTCATCCTGATGAGGTTTTCATACATTTTATGCAAACATGCACATATCTATTTTAACATTAATTCAGCGGTTCATTACCGATACCTTTTAAGTCCCTTTTAAATGAATTTGAAATATGATTTCTCATTCACTCTACTTATATAGGTACAGCATAGTGAGTGCGTAAGGACTGTTTAAGTCTGTGCCTGCCTCAATGATAACTGATGGTAGTATTTTTCTTTTTATTCAATTTTTTCTTTAAAACCATTTTCTTGATTCTAATATTAATACATTAGTGTTAGTTAATATCATTTAGGGGACAGCATGCTTGCTTTTAAGCATATACTGTAAATTTGAACATGAATTTTAGTTTTCGTCTCGTGTTAAAACGACAAATTCATTATCTAATCTCCAATACATGCATAAAAACAAGCATACTATCCCCATTCTAAAATAACTTGAACCTAAAAGTGACATTATAATCCCAATATCAACGAAATTTAAAAAAAAAACAAAAAACTGCAAAAATTTGTTCGAAAAGAGAAATATTCCTAATTTGAAGAATTCAAAGAGTTAGCAGAATAAGGCAAGCATCCTCCAGTCAAACTGGTGCTACACATCACTAACGGAGATAAACCACCAGGATTATGAATCACGAGGCTGGACTCTATGTGAGCGCAGAAGTGCAGAATGTTAATGCTCGGCCACTGGTAGAAACTTGAGCAATTTTGACCATTCTCTCAAATGAGATGTACGAGGAAATTCCAAAGGAATCACGACCAGTGTAATGCGAGATGAAAAAGACCTCCTTGCGGCGAATGGCGCCAAGCTAAAAGTGTTGGGTGGAGATGTATTCACTATTGAACCCGAAGGATGCGATGCTTCCAACTTTGAGGCAGTTGTTGCCAATATATATTTCATGCGGAGAAAGGTGTGCCCGACCTCCGAGGAGACGTCGATTAACATTAGACGACATACCAATCGCTATCAAGTATGAAGGATCACTTGGATGTTTTCGGGTATACAGAGCGTGTGACCATTCCCGCCCAGTGCGACACCGTACAACCTGGTAAAGTTCAATCATCAGGGAAACACGGAGAGGTTGATTTCTTAATCAATGAGGATGCTCCGACCCTTCTGAAAGTGGATGGGGCAAAGGCTGGTGATATCTTTAGTGTGTAACACTGTCACAGAACATGAAACGATTATGAATTTGCAATACGAGCCAAAAGCGACATATCCGGGAACGACAATAGCTACTGCATGCCCAGCAGAAAGTAAAGTCAGCCAAATAGGTCCTCGTGATTCATCACAAAGAGTCAGCTACCAGAGAAGACCGAAGCCCAGACGAAGTAGGTGGAGATATTTCTTCGTCGCTACCATGGCCAATTCGCAGTTAATGATGCGGATCTAGAAGAACACGGATAACCAAGCATACTATAGCGATGGGCTATGCAAGACCTAGAAAGCAGCCCTTGCGAAGGGTATCCGTCCATGTGCAAGAGAAAATGTACCGACAGGTGCAGCAAATGCTGGAGAAAGGAGTAAATGATAATTCAACAAACTCACGTTCCTCTGGCATAGTTCTCATCAAGAAGAATGATGGAACGTCACGATTCTGCGTGGACTGTTGACAGCTGAACAATGTAAATCTTCACGATGCTTACCAAGTGTCACGTGGGTTCAGATAGAACCGAATGAACATGATCGACGGCTTTTAGCACTCGCACGATTATGCCGTTTGGATTAACTTCAGCAACAGCGACCTTCGAGCGGCAGTTGGAAACTGTATTACATATATGAAATAAATATACCTAATCTACTTGGATGTCGTAATCGTACTAGGAAAGATGATATGCTGAAGAATCTAGGACAGCTATTCGATCGCATTGCTGTTTCTGGTCTTAAACTAAAAGCTCGGAATTGTAATCTATTTGGAAAGAGAGTGTGCTACCTCAGACATGTTATGTTTGAGGAGGACATCTCAACAGATTGCGAGAATGTACGAAAAAGTTGAAGGGTGACGATTATCGAGCTCTGTCGAGTACGTACGGCCTTTCCTAGGATTTTAAAGCTACTATCGCCTGTTTGTGAAGAATTTCTCAGGAATAGCCAAGTCCTTGGATAAACTGCCGAAAAAGGTATTTGAGTGGACGCAAGACTTCGAGACACTCCAGTTGGTCCATGCACTAGTTCTGGTTTACCCAGAATTCTCTCTTACCTTTTATACTGGATACATATGCCAGTTACGACGCAATAGAAGTATTACTATTCTAGCAAATCGATGAAATAGAGAGACCCCTTGCATATGCGGGCAGAACTCTTACCAAGTGAGAGAGGCAATACTGTGTTATCCGGAAAAGGCTTGTCATTGTTGTGAATTTCAAAGATTATCTTTACGGTAAGCTAGATTGCTCGTTGTCTACAAATACTTAGCTCCTACAACATGGGAGTTAGACACCATTCTTCTGGTTTGAAATGTCAATTGAATAGAAGTTCTTATAACACAACCAGTAGAAGATTAGGGTGACGTTTCGAGAAGGGACGATAATCTTCATCAGACAAATAACCAGTGTGGAAAATACTAACATTGATGTGCGTAGTGTGCGAGATGGTAAGGAATCCTACCAACTCTTTCGGTTGTATCATAACCCTATGTACGCTACGGTCGAAATGGCGTGGCGAGATGGTAAACAGATTATAGATAAAAAATTTACAAAATATAGTAACAATGTACTGTAGTATATTAAGCTACGCGTTGCTTAATACTTCGTCATAATGTGAACGAAAAGGTCTGTGCCTCCTCTCCCTCTATTGTCCCTGTTTGATACTGGCCCCCTGATAGCTTTCTTAACTTACCGTCTTGAAAGCTGTTTTCCAAGTTGACTATTTTGGAATTTTCCTAGTAATTGATATGATTTTGCTGTGTGGAATGATCTGTAAGTGTACTTGTGTTTTTGTATTTGTTTTGCGTTCTTGGGATCCCGCGTCTTTCTAATGTTCAGTAAGTCAAACCCCGGATCTCCTTCCTGTTTGTCCGATATACGACGCATCGCACTTCTTGTTTTCGATTTTATATACGTATCTGCGACTTTCGGATAGTCTTGTCAGGTTTAATGGCTGTTACAACACCATGGCCACTGTGAATCCTCTGAATGGTTTATGACAGGTCTTTGATGTAAGGGGTGACTGCTTGTCCTTCCGTTTGTTCTTTTCCTATGTGTTTCGTCTATTGGTAATTATGTTTTCATCAAATTCATTGTTAACGTTCTGGATTGCCTAATCAGGGTATGGCGCTATGGATGTGATTTGGTTCTGGCTTTTTGTCATCTTCTCATGTGACAATCTTTTCACATCTGCTGAGAAAGTTTCATACAGCACCCAACATCTGGTGTAAGTATTGGTCCGTGTGCACCTTTTTTTTTAAATATACTTTGATAGTATCGTCATCTTTCTGCGCTAGGAGGGTGACAAGGAACGACATTTCTTTCTCACGGGTGAATCTAAACGTTGTTGGTGGTATCTATGACATTGATATGCTCAGCTAAATCTTTCTTTGATCTGTTTTTTACTTTTTCCAATATGTCATCAACATACCGCTTCCACAGACTAGGCTTGCATTCTACGGGGACATAATGCTCCCAATTTTAAGCCATAAAAGTTTTACAAAATTAGACACGGCATCCAAAGTATCGATGAATATAAATAATTCGTATTGTGTAGATGAATATAAGTTATTCGTGTTGTATGGATGAATAGAAGTAATTCGTGTTGTAAACGGACATATTTCACCGTTTTTCGTGCACAAAGTATCACACGATAAAATATGGCTGTGCTAATTAATTAATATAGCAAATTATATGAATGCAAAAATTCGCCATTGTAATTGTTTATGAAAAAATGATGATGTACGAAAATTTAATTGCATATAGACAAATAAATTACGAATCGGAGAATTTGAAAATGTCAAAACTAACATTCAGAAACCCCCTGTCTGCGATAACTTGAACCATGTTGAAGAACTTTCACGCCAGTTTAGTTTTACAAAACTGATTCAAGCACATCAATTTGCAGTTATTTAGTTTTCCAGAATTTTAAACCCACTGTCTGAGTTTAGTACATTATTGAATAGCATACAAAAATTTTCTGGCACATTTATCGTATGCAAAAATTGAACATATTTTTATGGGTTCATATGAAAGTGAATTTTATTAAACATTTAAAAAATACATAATACTGGTACTAACGGTCATGGTAACGTTACTGCAATGTTTTATGTTTTATAAATTGCTGATACAGAAAGTCTATCTAAATTGTCAGGAATATGATATATCCTGATTTAAAAATCGTGTTTTTGGTTCTTAACATAGGGTGTCAATTTGCTTTATCGGGATTTAATTTTGTTTACTAGTAAGAGATTACGAGTTATGTCCCTTCGCAATGAAATGTACATTGATTGGCCAATCACAACTCAGGTAGGTATTCATCCCGAGGTTTCGCGGGTTTTTCTTGTAGAAGTCTCATCATAAAGTTTTTGTTTGTGCGTGAAGAAAACAACAGAAAATGTAAGCAAATAGCGTTTGTAACCTAGACGCTGATTAGGAGATAGAATTACAAGTACTACACCTTATTGATGCAGATATGGCTTCAGAACCAAATGGACACTGCGATGAGGCGAAACAAAGCATGTGAGTACAACCTCCTCCACTGCAGTTCTGACGATACGCTCACTTTCGTCCTTCGGATGCTTTCTCGTCACATGATGGTTTTACCCAATTTTATGGCTTACAATTAATTAGAATTACTAGTATTCTTTAAAGAATACTTTGTAGCATGGATAAATGCTGTCATTCACTCAAACTCTATTATTATACAAAAGTCTGCATGACGTAACTGTTGTAAACATTGTACCTGATGACCCTTATATCTTACGACAGACAATTTTGGTAATATTATTATTAATCTTTTTAAAAATTGAAGTGTAACAGCTTTTGCAAATGAATGAACACATTATGTCAAAATGATAATTGTGTCAGGGCTGCAACATAGCAGCTATTGATCAGTTGATCAATTATAACTACATAGCTAGACAGTAAATGAGAGCAGCAGTCACAATAGCAATTATCCTAAGGGTTGATTATTAAATAAATAATGATACAGTTTGCTTTATCAGTTAATTATTTGTTTTAACACTTTTTATTTTGAACATTTACATATTATAAACAAGTTCTGGTATAGACTGAATGAGGATTTGAAAACAGTTGTTAAGACTTCACAAATGGCTCATTATAATTACTAGGCTTTCCTACCTTGAAAAGGTGATATTGTTAAAAGATTAAAAAGAAACATGAAACAAATTGTATAAATGCGTTTGCCAGAAAAAAACCAATGGTATCCCATTCAAACATTTGTATTTTGTATTTTCAATGCAAGTTTTCTATATAGTCGTGTCAAATTTGATGCGAACTTAGTCAATTTGATTAATAAACCTATCTATGAGGTGATTGAATTGAGATATATGAGAGTTCAATTATTTTTCAGACTGAAATTATTAAAATAAGCATGCCACATCTGATCTATTTAATGTAGTATTCAATTATCTGTGTGATTAACTTTACCAGGGATCTGGAAAAGCACTCGTCCAGTAGCCATGGGCGAGTGAAAATTGTCTTTGACGACCAGAAAATATAAAACAAAGAAACATGTTTACGGTACTTCGAAAACAAAATATTCCAGTCTGCACTCTAACTTTTGATTACACCGGAACTCCCATGACGTCAAATATAGCATTCGGAATACCTTAGGCATTTTCTTGCGATCATACTGATGTCAGGTGCTCTCGGGTAGTACAAACATGTACAGGTCTGTATTTAGCAGCACCTAGCCAGTCAGATGTAAACAAACACTACGGATAGGCCTAAGTCGCATACAATGTCTGCTGCAAAGTAGCCATCACTGCATACTTTTTTCACTAAAACTTAAAATAAAAATAGAAAAGAAAGACACATGTCACATCGTCGCTGATTAAGTCGCCATTTCATAACTGAATTTGGACGAGTAAATTTCCAATCCGGACGAGTAAATTTTGCAGCCCACTAGTCCTGTTTACATTATTGACTGGGGAGCAATTGCACAATTTGCAGGTGTTTAGAAGTGTTTATTTGGTGTTGTAAGATCGTCTGTTTATCAGGTAACATAGATTATATCAATAGTTGCTTCTGAAAAGGTCAGCTGTAAGTACATCAAGAACAATTATAAAAACTCACAGGCCTATTTCATTCAGAGTGAAATATTAGTAAGTAGCCGGCTATTGAATATTCAAAAAGTGAAATACTGCTTAACAAGTTTGAAGTATAATGATCATCTTATCAACCTATATTTGTAAAGTATAGTTGCATGACCTGACTGATATGAACATTTTTTCAAGTCAAATGATTTTTTTTTTTCCACAGGGTTCATTCTTTTCTGAAATCACAAATTTATTTTTCAGTGTGCCAAATGGTGTACCTGCTATGGACACGGATATGGCTGATTCTGACTTGGAGATGATTTGTAGTGACCTTGACATTCCAGATGACATACAACAGCGGGCCTGTAACATGCTCAATCTGCTCAAAAGCAAGGAAGATATTTTGAAGGTTTCTTTCTTTCTTTAGAAAAGCACCAACACATTTTGCTAGCAAAGTAGGCTTTGTAATCTCGCTTGCTGCGAAAAGTTGGAAAAGCAAGATTATGGTTTATTTTGACAGTGACATCAGAATTAATCATTGAATTTTTGGCATTGTTTTTGGGATTATAAGATAAAATTAAAAGGAATTACTACAGTCTTCAGGTTTTAACCAATTTACTCATTATTTAGTTTGTAGTTATATTAAAACAGGTTTTCTTGCCCTCATTTGGAAGTAGTGATATTTTTGGGTAAAAAGATGTTTTTGACTTGATTTTGAGAAAGGATGAAGGAACCATTTTCATTTAATGTTTTACAGTTGGACCAATATCTAAATATGACAATATATTTATAGTGTTTACAGAATTAAGATTGATTGGGAACTTTGGTATATTGGGAAGGGGCTGGGGGGTGGGGGAGTATGAATTTAGTGTATTTTGCATTTGGATTACCATATTCACATAACAGGACAGGCCAGATATATAATTACATGTAATCCTGGTTAGAATGCGTTTTGTGTTTTATCTTTGAAAAATTGGAGGGGACTTTTTAAAATTTTTCTTATCTTGGCTTGTTTCTATTTATGTTTGGATAAAATCAATTGAAAATATCATACAAGGATGGTAACTTATCCTTGAGTAGAGCTGCCTTCTTATATCACTGAAATGTCATGTCATGGACACTTTGGAGTGACCTGTCTATCCATTCATTATATATCAGTATGTTTTAGTTATGTCTCCTTGATCAGCGGGAACATCAAATGCAGTTAGTTTTAATGATTTTGTATTTGTCATAGCTTTGGGAAGGAAGTTGATCTGGAGTCATTATCCTTCCTTGCACATAGAATAATCCATTTCAAAACATAAAACGAGGGGAGACAGGAAGAAAACATAAAACGAGGGGAGACAGGAAGAAAGAAGTGTTTAGGAATGACAACAGATGGAGTTTTAAGATTAGTTGCTTTCTAAGATCATTTATTCAATATATACAAAGTGCAGAGTTTTCTTTTGTGATTTTCACACAAATAGATGGTCTACATATGATTGCATTTATTTGCAGATTCCAAAAATGGAGATATTGGCATGTGCTGTCTACATTGCTGTTGTTGATGCCAGGTAAGTTGATTGATGCAAGTGATTCTCTGATTGGTTGATTGAAGCCAAGTAAATATTTGATTATTGTGCACTAAATATTTGATTATTGTGCACTAAATATTTGATTATTGTGCACCCAACAAAGTTTGCAGGGGATATTGAAATGGATTCCGTACTTCCGACCAAATTGTGGTTTGCTTGATGTCTTTTGAAGGACTGGTTAGATTTGGATGGAACTTGGTTGTTACACTTGTTACCTTCATCCCTTGCCCTAGATTAACAGAGAATTCTGCACATATTTAAAAAGGCTGTTCGACCTGCTTGGCTGATTTTTTTTATCACTCTGGGATGTTGTTTTTTTGCATGATTCCTTTCGAAGGACTGGTTGGATTTTGATGGAACTTGCTTGGTATACTTGTTACCTTAACCGCTCATTCAAGTGTGATTATTGGCAAATTTTGCGTATTTTTAATGAGGCTACTGTGACCTGATTGGCTGATATCTTTCAGCATTCTTACTGAATGTTTTCTGCATGTTTTTGAAGGAATTAATGAATTTTCATTGATTTGCTTGGTAAACTTATTGCATAATCTATTTCGAGTCGGATCAACTGTGAATTCCTTGCATATTTAATCATGGTGCTCTTACCTGATTGGCTAATTTCTTGAAATAGTCTTGATGATCGCTTTTCACACTTCTTTTAAAGGAATGATAAAATTTTTTATGAGACTTGCTAAGCAGACTTAGTACCTCAACCACTCTCTTAAGTTTGATTATCGGCTAGTTAATGGGATATCTAATGAGACAACTATGACCTGAATGGCTGATGGCTTTGCACAGGATATCATGTGAAGAAATAATAGACCTTTAAAAGACCATAAACATATCTCTTACTGATTAGGAAATTAAGATGCCACAAAATCATGGAAGAAGTATAAGAATATTAATGATAAGAAACAGAAAAATATCTATAGGTCTTTTCACCAGTTGGTAAAAAGCCCTAATAAACCTGAAAGTGAATCTCAAAAATTTTAGAAATCTAATGTTCGAAGTGATGTTGCACTGTCACCGGCTATGATTTGTTTTATTGATAGTAACTTTCTTGCAATTTTACATATCTGACTATAAGATGCTGTATTTTTTAGCCCACCATCTAATAGATGGTGGGTTATTCAAATCGCCCTGCGTCCGTGGTCCGTCCTTTCGTCCGTAAACAATTTTTGTTACCGCTATTTCTGGAAAAGTACTGGATAGATCTTCCTCAAATTTTATATGCAGTTTCCCCTTGGTCCTGTGCATTGTGCCTTTTTTGGACTGATTCGAATTCAAGATGGCCGACAGGTGGCCATCTTAGAATGGGAAGTAAAAGTTTGTTACCGCTATTTCTGAGAAAGTACTAGATGGATATTTCTCAAATTTCATATGCAGTTTCCCCTTGGTCCCTAGTTGTGCATTGTACCTTTTTTGGACTGATTTGAATTCAAGATGGCCGACAGGCAGCCATCTTGGATTTTGGAAGTAAAAGTTTGTTACTGCTATTTCTGGAAAAGTACTGGATGGATCTTTCTCAAATTTCATATGCAGGTTCCCCTTGGTCCCTAGTTGTGCATTGTACCTTTTTTGGACTGATTCGAATTCAAGATGGCCGACAGGCAGCCATCTTGGATTTTGGAAGTAAAAGTTTGTTACTGCTATTTCTTGGAAAGTACTAAATGGATCTTTCTCAAATTTCATATGCAGTTTCCCCTTGGTCCCTAGTTGTGCATTGTACCTTTTTTGGACTGATTCAAATTCAAGATGGCCGACAGGTGGCCATCTTGGATTTTGAATGTAAAAGTTTGTTACTGCTATTTCTTGGAAAGTACTAAATGGATCTTTCTCAAATTTCATATGCAGGTTCCCTTTGGTTCCAAGTTGTGCATTATACCTTTTTGGACTGATCCGAAATCAGGATGGCTGACAGGCAGTAAAATCTTGTTACTGCTATATCTGAGGAAGTACTGGATGGATCCTTCTGATATTTCATAGATATTGGGTTTCCCTTGGTCCCTAGTTGTGCATTGTACCTTTTTTGGACTGATTTGAAATCAAGGTGGCCCACAGGCAGCCATCTTGGATGTCGACAGTAATGCAGCACAAGCATATTGTCCATTATCCACCTGTAACTGACTGCTATCTAATAATACTTTGGGATCTTTTTCAAATGATATTTGCTAATAGGTGCTTAATAAAAATATCTTGTGCCATCATTGAGTACATTCAATGAAGACCAGTTCATGAACATTTATAACACCTGTAACAAACAAAAAAAAATCTTCAAGAACTGAAAACAGATCCTCAAATGGTGGGCGCCAAGATCCCTCTGGGATCTCTTGTTTTTTTATAAATCTGTATAAACCATGTAGTGTTTTGTCATACTTATGCGGTAATAGAATCATTGATGATCGATCCAGCATCACTGAAATTAAGTAACAAATATTCTATCATTACCATTTGGTAAAAGAAGTTAACATAAAAGTATGATAAGCAGATTTTAATATTCATATTGTTACACTACTAAATTGTTATTTTATTGATCAGTTTCAGTGGAACTTTAAACTGAATTTAAACAATAAATGTAGCTCATGTTTTATGTTGTACAAATGAATGTAGGAGGGAGATCTTGTTGACTATGTTCTTGTCAGTTGATTGATGTGAGGTCAGCATCTCATTGGTTGATGCATCTGATGGTTGAATTGAGCGTAGTGTCTGATTGGTTGCTGTCTAGGTAGTGTCTGATATAATTAGTAACCACATTTCAGTTTGATTAGATGGTTATACTTTGAGGATTAGAGAATGAAAATTCATAAAGTCATAGAACAGATCTGCATACATTAATTTGTGCTGATTCTGTCCTATTGAAAAACTTAACAGCAAATAAGGTAGTGAAAACATATCTTTGATCAGAGATATTTTGTTCTTCGTCATTCTAATAAGCATGGTGTATATTATTATTTTTTTGGACATCAGGATGCCATATGGACCTTTTGACCCACAGCTGCAGTGTGGGTACCTGGAACAACCAGCAGTCACTGTCACAGACATCTTGGTTAATGCTCAAGTTAGGTGAGTATAGATAGAGTGAAATTATATGACATGTCCCAACATGATATGAAAGAAAATCTTGTCAAATTATGGTAAAATATTCATTGTAAACATAAATCATTTTTCATGAGTTTAGTACTGCATTTAAGGGTTTTTGATTTTGTTTGTAAAATTGCCATAAAGTGGATAAGGCCATTACAATAATCTGCATGTCTGTCACTTGTCTTCATAATATTGTCAGTAAGTATTTCAAGGCAATATTTTTTGCATTGAACTTATTTAACTGAGTGGCGTGGATTTTATGTTGTTAATTTGTGGAAAAGAAATGGTAAGTAATTACCTGATATTTATATCCCAACAAAGAAGTGATATTTGTTATTCTCAAGATGACAGTTCTAGTTCAACTTTTAAAAAAATTGTATACTTTTTCTGAATTAATAACCCTTTGTTAAATACATATACACACTGATGATTACAATGTAAGATGCATGTTCTTTTCCACAGAAAGACAATTTAGACAACTTTGGATATTTGTTGTCTGTTCCTTTTCCTCTCTCTTATGCCACAGTTATGATGTCATATATTTTATTAACCAAGAGATGTAAATAAAACAGAATCATTGAATAGGAGACATTATTTACTATTCATAAATGGCAGGATGGAATATTTTTTTGTTTTTCAGTGTACAAACCCTTTTTAGAAGAATGCACCAGATCAGAGATGTGGTCGGTCTAAGTGAAGCAGTAAAGTATCACCTGAAGTTTCTGGAGAAGAAATATTGCATAGTGTCGGCACTTTCTCATAGATTTAACAGGTATCATTGTCCTTTTGGAAATTGTAATGTATGTGATGTAGGTAGATAAAAAAACTAGACATAAGACATGTTTATGGCTTAGATAGGAATGCAAACTTTCTACACACGGATGTATGTGGTGTAGATAAGAAAAAATGTACATTCTTGTTTGGTTCACATATACTTGTTAACAGATGAGACTTTAATTAGACTTGTTGTGACAAGATTTTAATCTGATAGAATGATTTAGTGGCTGTTTCAGTCTAGCATCATGAGAACCTCAGATTTTTTCTTTCAATTAAAATTTCTCCTTTTTCTGAGTGTACATCCCATTTCCAAGATAACGGGCTGAGCTGGTCATTTCTAGATACGGTACAATGCAATTGGGTATGGTTAGATCAATGACAGTTCAGCAATTTCTGATGGATATATGTAATGGCTTAGAGATTGGAAACTAAATTTTCCTATTTTAGTACTAATGATTAAATTGGTTCTAATTTTCAGACTCTGTGAAAATGTTTTTAATGAAGATCAAAAAGAGTAAGTTCTGTATATAATATTATGATACATGTACTGTGTTTTATTTATGTAATCTTAAAAAATGAAATAAGTTCAAGCTTTTTGAAACTTATGAAATTTCATGTATTTGGTTTATCTGAGGTGAGAAGCAGTATCAGCTTTACTTTAAATAGAAATTAATGCGTCATCGTTTGATTTTGTTTCTAAATTAGTTACCATTAAATTTCAGATATATGTTCATAAGCATTACCTTTATAATGAGTTTGTGTTCTGTCTCCCTATATACTTCTATGTATCTGGATAATTTTGATAATCTAAACTCTTTTAACAGATGATCTGAAAAAAAATAAGAAAACAAAATTGAATTTGTTTCAGAGAGACAATAGCAATCCCTATTCCTCTGAGGGAGGGTGTGGAAATCAGGAAACGCTTGTGTTGGACACTGTTTGTTCATGCCAAAAGTAAGTTTTTCATGTGTCTGTTAAATAAAGACAAAAATAACAGAATTGAAGCTTTTCACATGAACTAAATTCAAAACTTTGTTCTAATTTGTTGAAAATTTTTGTTTACATGATATGTTCCAATTTGAAGAAAAAGAACAGGGTTCGAAATTAACTATAGACAACTAGCAAAATTCCAGCTAAAATCTGGTAATTGCTAGCTGGAAAATAATGAACTAGCAAAATTTTGCGAGTGGAAATGAACTATACCTAATCACTATTTTTGACGAAACATCTGCCACAAAATGCCTTTCTCCGTCTGCCTTTAAATGAGTAAATAGGTTACAAACGCTAAAGTGACATAGATTATCAATACATTCGGAATTCCTCCAGTTTTTCCCTTGATAGTTATGTGTAAACCGAATAAAAAGTTGTCTTGGAAAAACTCTACGATTTCTGTCTGCTCATCATGTGAAACGCGACATATCAGCTATGATAACAAACTTTTTCAAAAGGAAAGCATCTGACAGTGCTTGCGATGACCAAGACAATAGTCAACAGCCACAGCCTGGCCCTTCTGAAAAAAACTTGTCGAAATCGGAGAGCATTTCTCCTGACGCTGCTGATATAAAATCACCGCCACAACAACGTGCATATACGGCCATGTTAAAAACGGTACGGAAATGAGAAAAAGAATTGAATATTATTCTAGGATACAACAAATCATCTAGTAACAATGTTGTTAATACAGTATGGCGCAATGACTGCCGAGAACACGGAAGATAGTTGTCTTGATAATGATTTATTGAAATGATCGTTAATGTGAACAATTTTTTAAATAATATAAATTTGGGTACAGTTACATTTATAAATGGATTTGATCATATGACAGTCAGATTAGATGTAGCTCATACATGAAAGAAAGAAAACTGATAAATTCAAAGTTATATAGATTTAAAATGTTGATACAGGTAGCAATCAGCCATTCTTATCCAATGTCTTGGATAACTTTTCCAATATCACTCAGTTCCTGAAAAACTCAATATAACAGTAAATAAAAGTCAAACCTATTCAACAAAAAATTGCTAGTTTGTTCATCACTTTTGCTAGTGGAAATTTTAGGCACTAGCAATGGTTTGCTAGTGCCTAAAACAGTTAATTTCGACCCCTGAAGAAGTAAGATTTGATAGATGATGTGAAATCTGGGATAATTGGCATTGAATATACATTATCAGGGTTTTCCATAAGAGCCGGTTGCCAGCCAATTTGACCAGCTTCTTTGATCATTTGGCCGCCTACACCAATCCAGTTCCGTGATAATGTTCCATACACGATTACATGTACACGGCAGGCCACCCCCACCTTGCCGTGTTGCGGTTCGGGTTGTCTTGCTTCACCAGCCTCCTACTTTCACTACACAGCCTACTACTAACAAAATTATGGAAAACCCTGCATTATGAACATCCAATAATTTGTAACAAATTGTGAGGGTAGGCCAATAAAAACTGATTTAATTGTGTGTTATGATAGTAAAGACATTGTAAAACACTATTTTGACAGGTGCTTTGTTGACAGATGAGCAGATTGTTGATGCCTTTTACATATTGGTGTGTTGTCTTGAGTATATCCTTCGCACAGTCCCTGCATTCCAGTTAAATCCTCCTTTTGGTAAGTGGAGCGCAGTTGATTACCTAAAGGTCTTTGGAGGTTTTTATATGCCAGTCAAAAATTTTGACAGGATGTATTATGGTATGCCATTGTCTGTCAGTCTTAAACTTTTCTTTGTCTGGAGATTTTCTCCCTTAGGTTTAAACAAATTATTCTGATAATTGACAGGCTTTAAAACCAAATAAGGAGATTATGTTCTGGTGAACAGCATAGTTTGCTGAAAAGTTACCAATAGGAGTAGTGTTTTTGAAGTATTCAGGTTTTATTATGAAAAAGAATTTCATCTGAGAGATAAATGGAATTATGTAATAATGAAGTTGTATCCAGTCTAGATAATTAACATGATAACTTATTTGTGTTTAATCATATAGCCTGCACGGTAAAACTTTCACTCTTAAACCAAGAGCTGAAAGTTGGTGGGGTGGGGTGAGTAGTTAACAATATTTCTTCAAATATTTACTAAATATAAAAAATGTGTTTAGCAGATTAAGCCTTTTACCATTTATGTTAAAAATTGTTTTCTAGGTATTTGAAATATCCATTTACATAGTGAATTTTTTTAAATATAAGATTGCAGATGATATAAGAAATAGTGAAATTGGAATTACTTTTCTTTGAAGTTTACAGATTTGATGTATTATTTTTCAGATGCAGTAGTAATGAACTATATAGACAATTCTAAAGTACCAGGGGCAAGTACCAACATGCTACAGAAACTAGCTGAGGAATTGAAATTGTGCTATGAAGAGGTATGGTTTTTGGCTCATAATAGTAATATAAGAAAATTATATTTGTCCATGTGGCATGTAAAATTTTACATGATCATAATATGAAAAATAAAAAAGTATCCTGTATACAGCAGGTCCTACTCCTGGAACTCCTATTACATTGCCAAAACACTGATGTTTGTCAGTTAGATTATCCTCGGACACTGGAGGAGTCGCAGTGATGGAAAACAAGTCAATCAACCAACCAAGAACTTTAAGTGGAAAAAAAGGGTGCAAAAACCAATATAGGTTGCCCAGTTCTAAAAGAGAGACTCCCCCATGATGTCAGACACACTATCAAGATTTGTTTACAATAGACAGATAGGAAATACCAAAATGCAAATTTTTAATCAATGAAATAGGATAAAATTATGTTATAGAACATTATTGTTGTGGCATTTTATCTCTGTAATCATTTACATGTACACGGTTATGTTGTACATATTTCTTCAGTTCTCTGAACTGGCATTTTTTGTTAAAGATAGATTTTTGATGTGATGAAAACTTTAGTTTTTTTATTGAAATGAACAATTGGTAATAGACATATGTAAACTTCTGGATGATTCACTAAAACAATGATTGAAAACTTGTACATTGTATATTGTACAGAAAAAGCCAAAATGAGAGAAATAAAAACATTTTCTTTTAATTTTGACTTCAACAAACTTTTAAAACAAATTTTGGCACATTGCACGGATTTATGAAAAGTGAAGATTCTTACTATATTTTGACATGTAAGTGGATTCCCTGTACTATGAATCATAAGTTCTTTGATAGGATTTGTCATTACTTTCCACGATGCTGGTACCCATTTATACAGCTTGGCTTGCTGAAAAAATTACAGAAAAGTATACTCTTTCATGTTGAGTGATAAGATATATATTGATATAAGTTGAGGGAATTGTTCTGACATGTAGAGCACTAGACCTTATGTTATTTGTGTGATAAAGACACCTGATTTTAAGCTAATTAACATGTCATTTTTTAAAAAAATATTTTAGGTGCAGTCAGTTCAAGTTAACAGAACGGAACCATTTATACAAAGTCTACCTCATACAGATGGTGAATTAGATGTAAGCGTCTTTACAATCACGTAATAATTTCAGAGTTGTTCTTTTTGTAACAAGTAATTGACAGTTTAGTTTAGGTTTCATAATAATAATTTCTAGACCAAACATATAGTGTGTTTTGCATGTCTTGTGTACAACTTTATGCCAGAAGTGAATAAGAGTCCAGTTACTATTGAATAAGTTTTGAATTTAAAGACAAGTAATTTAAGTGCAGTACTTTTGATATTTTTGGTTGTACCATTCTTGTGCTGGATAAGCTGCCAAAAGAAATATTATATGGAAACCTGTAAATAGAAAGAATATCAGATTACATTTCAAATTAAAACTATTTATCAGGTCAGCCATAATTGAAATCTGGAACTTTGATATTTGTATGTTGTTAGCAGGAAAGCCTTCAAATTTGTGGAATGTTAATGATATTGCTCTCCGTTTCACTTTGACATTTGACAATCATCCAGATTCCTTTAGAATTTCTGCTAATTTTCAAAATGTTGATGCTATGAAAACTCTTGTTGTAATTTATCCATTTCCAGATAAAGAAACTTACAGAATCATATGAGAAGCTTTATCACCAGGAGGGAGATATCAATGAACTGCGTTTCTTAGACAACGACCCTCATCTAGTAGCTTTAGAACAGCACGGGTAATAGAATAGGATAAGATTTATGTGAATGAACAGCATTTCTTCATTTTATATATTTGATGTATCAGTGAATGCCTAAGACACATGACTTATTGTATACGATGAAAACCTTAATTTTGTGTGTTTGATGTGTCAGTAAAAGTCTTAAGAAATGTGGCCCAGTTCATCTGTTTTAATCTATGTAACTATTTGTCTGTTTTGCAGTGAAAAGTCATCACCTTCCAAAGAAAACCATGCTGATCCACCCATGACACCTATTCGGTAATGTTATATTTATTGAGTTGGGTAAATATTTGTTGAGAAGTGATGGATTTGAGTTCATGTGTATATGATTAAGACCACATAGAAATGGTTTTCATCAAAACACAGAATATTCACAAAGTTTTCAATCATTGACACCAAATACAACGATGAAAATGACATGGCAGCAAATTAAATTCCAATACTTTAAGACAAGATTGATTCAAGTTTAATTCCTTATAGCGACTTTCCACCATTTTCTTGAACTTAAAAGTAAGAGCTGAGTTTTGCTTTAAGAATAATCATTAATGTTGATACATGTGCAATGAAAAATGGCAATTCAATGTAGTCTGTTGTTGACATTCATGAGTACAGTAAAACATGTTTATAACAAATCTTGAGGGACCAATCACGTCATCCTAGATACTCCAGAGGTGATGATCACTCATTCTCTGCACCCATGGAACATGTCATGGCAAAATGAAGGTTCCATGTACCACACCTTGTGGGTAAGACAAAAAGACTTGTCTGATGTACATCAAACGAATCTCGTGGTCACATGACCATATATTGTAATGGCTTTGAAGAAATGACTTTGAAGATTTGCTGTACATCAAACAAATCTTGAAGTAGTATGACAGTATATTGTAATGACTTTGAAGTTGGATGTCTCTCCTTTGTAGTCTTCAAAAGGAGCACCTCGGCCTGTGATTGGTCAGTTTTTTCTCCTGAAACCAATCAAAGTTACTTTGCTTGTTCCTTCAGTTTTGCCATGACATGTCCCAGGGCTGCAGAGAGCGAAAGTGATTGCAACTTTTTAAATATTGAGAATGCAAGAAAGTTTGTTTATTACAAGCATAGTTTGTTAAACACTTACAACAAATTTTGAAATAAATCATGCCAAACTCCAAATATCAGAATCAACATAGCCTAAAATCATGAAATTTTAATAATGTGCTAGAGAGGTCTGTTCATTTCATTTGTTCTATCATGTTGGATATTGCAAACAATGATAACATGTAAATATGTGTTTGCTGTGTATTGGCTAACTCAACATTGATATATCGGTATGCGGAGTGTCAGTTGAGACTTTCATTGTTATGGATTAATGTTTATTAAAATTGCCTCCTTTGTGTTTATGAAGCATATACATGGTTCTAAAAAAGTTTGTTTTGTGTAATGAGTATGGATGGTCTTGATGTAATTTTCTTATCAAAATGTGTAATGAGATTCTTTGACAATACACATGCCTATATTCCATGTTCCTTGTTACAATTGTTGTAATACAGAGTTGGGCCTCAAGTTGTGTTATTTGTTACAAATATGATGTTAGCAAGGCATGAAAGAGAACTCCCACGCAACCAATGCTGATTAAGTGATATATGTATTCATCAATCATTCTTCACAACTTGGTTTATTTGTCACTTGTGTTTATTAAGTGGACATGGGTTTGAACACTGTTATATACGTATACAACAAGTTATGTTGTTGGAAGGTTGGCGACACTCAGGTGTGACAATTTCCTGAGGGCTACTATGTTATATGGTCAGGGATTAGCTTTGATACTTGTCTGAGCAGACCTAGAACTTGTGACATTATAGGTATTAAGTTTTGTGAAATTTGTTATTTGTTTGAAATTTTATGTACATATGATACAGTATCTGGCAGGAAATGGAAAATACTATATAGTAGGCTTGAATTGGTTGTATCATGTTTGTTATAAACATGTTTTTCTGTACTGATGTGGACATGTACAATATTCAGACCTCAACCATCTGTTGATAACATTTAGGAGTACTGATGTGGAAATGTATTCAGACCTCTTCGGAAGTTTATGTTTATCTGAAGACTGCATTGATCCACATTTGAGGTATTACCAGAAAGATTTTGCCTTTTTTGTTATAATATGTATGACATTTGTGCATGATCTGAAATTTCTTAGAAAACAATCTGTCAGATTTGTTGCTATAAACTCCCCTGTTACTGGTGTCTTTAATTAACACTTGAGAACCAGAGGCTTGCTTAAACGTAAAATTCCATAAATCATTTTGTCTTGAGGGGAATTGATGCAGATTGTGAAGTGGTGTACAACTTAACTGTCAAATGTAATCATTTGTACTTAAAAGTGATATTAACAGACAAATAGGTTTATATCTTCTTCAGTACAGTGGGGTTGATTTGATTGGTCTAGAATTCACCATATTAGAGAGTTGTGATGCTCTTACAGGTTCTATCACTGACTTGTTTACATTTTATGCAATGCCACTGTTGCATGTCCGGTCCTCAACAGTATTCCCAATTATGCAATGTGGGTACAGACATGTTCCCCACCCCCTACCCCCACTCCCTACCCCCACTCCCTACCCCCAGCCAGTAAAATTTGAGACATTCACCTCCGGTTTTCAAGGATACTCCCATAGTATACTTTGTTAAAAGTAAATTAGACTCAGTACTGAGGTACTACAGGGGACACTGCTTATCATGTTAAACTTTCTCTTATGCAGGTAATACACAAATACCTCCTTATACTCTTTTAACTGCCTTTTTATGGTGTGTTTTTGGGCTGAGCAAATTTCTAAAGGAAATGAGTAGAGGGTATTTCATCATCCCCTTGTTGATGATCTAGTATACCTACTAGTAGTGGGAGTATTCTGGCTTTTGATTTCGGACTTGGTTTGTAAACTATGGCTTTCATTCCTTTTGTTTTTTAATTGCAGTTCATTGTTGTTGTTTTTTATACAAAAATTGAAATTCTTGTCCAATGATGTTGAAATACTACATACCTCTAGGATAAACATCAGTGGAAATAATCAATATTTTATTTACAATTTCATCATATAAATTGCCAAAAACTGTTATATAGCATCACTGGTTTGATTATTTAGTTTGTACGGTCAGTAAACATCTGTTGAAATATTTATTTTATGTTTAATTTTTAGATAAAAATGTTGTCATAATCATACCATAGATTCTAATGTAATTTACTTAAATAAAGTGTTGTATTATATACTCTGTCTAATTTGTATATTGTGAGAAACCTTTTCCCATGTTTTTTTTTCACATCAAGCTGGATTTGTTCTTAAATATTAATAGTATATATTTCACCTTTTATTTCAAGCATTTTTTTTTTGTAAATATGTTTTTCTTTTCCCATTGCTCATTTAACAAAATAACAAAAGTTGAATATTGATGAATATTATACCTCATGTAGTATTTTGATTTCATAACTGGTCATGATAAATGTAACACACATCGAGCAGAAAAAATTTCATCTAATTGATCAAATTATTCCATCAAAACTTGGTTGATGAATATTATACCTCATTTAGTATTTTGATTTCATAACTGGTCATGATAAATGTAACACACATCGAGCAGAAAAAATTTCATCTAATTGATCAAATTATTCCATCAAAACTTGGTTGATGAATATTATACCTCATGCAGTATTTTGATTTCATAACTGGTCATGATAAAAATAACACACATTGAATAGGAAAATTTTCATCTGTTTGATCAAATTATTCCATCAAAACTTTCTGGAAAAAAGTTGATCTTAGCTCCCTTGAGCTTGTGTGAATCAATCTGGTCATATTTAAAATGCTGACTACATTATAGACAAAAAGATTCATTGTATGTTCTGTATTCTAACATCTCTTGTAATTCTATATAATGATATATTTACATTTCTCATGAAACTACCAAGTTAGCATGCATATGTTCTGATGCCATGCCAAATTGTTATAATTGTCCTACTGGTTAAAATCTTTAAAAGATTTCCCTATAGATTGTGTTCAGCAGGGTGTCAAATTCAACAGAATAACCATACGGGTATATTTTGTCCCATAGGGTGTCAAATTCAACAGGTTAACCTGATCGATACACTGTGTCCTACAGAATGTCAGATAAGACAGGTTAATTTGACTGACATTGTATCCTACCTGGTGTCAGATTAAGCATGTAAATCAGACTGATTGATGGTATCCACAGCATGTCAAATGAAAGAGGATAACAAGACTGGTACATTGTGTCCACAGGGTGTCCGATTAGACATGTTAACCTGACAGGTACATTGTGTCCCACAGGGTGTCAGATTAGACATGTTAACCTGACAGGTAAATTGTGTCCACAGGGTGTCCGATTAGACATGTTAACCTGACAGGTACATTGTGTCCCACAGGGTGTCTGATTAGACATGTTAACCTGACAGGTAAATTGTGTCCACAGGGTGTCCGATTAGACATGTTAACCTGACAGGTACATTGTGTCCACAGGGTGTCCGATTAGACATGTTAACCTGACAGGTACATTGTGTCCCACAGGATGTCAGATGAGAGGTAAATTGTGTCCACAGGGTGTCAGATGTCCAGACATGTTAACCTGACAGGTACATTGTGTCCACAGGGTGTCCGATTAGACATGTTAACCTGACAGGTAAATTGTGTCCACAGGGTGTCAGATTAGACATGTTAACCTGACAGGTACATTGTGTCCACAGGGTGTCCGATTAGACATGATAACCTGACTGGTACATTGTGTCCACAGGGTGTCAGATTAGACATGTTAACCTGACAGGTACATTGTGTCCACAGGGTGTCCGATTAGACATGATAACCTGACTGGTACATTGTGTCCACAGGGTGTCCGATTAGACATGTTAACCTGACAGGTACATTGTGTCCCACAGGGTGTCAGATTAGACATGTTAACCTGACAGGTAAATTGTGTCCACAGGGTGTCCGATTAGACATGTTAACCTGACAGGTACATTGTGTCCACAGGGTGTCCGATTAGACATGATAACCTGACTGGTACATTGTGTCCACAGGGTGTCCGATTAGACATGATAACCTGACTGGTACATTGTGTCCACAGGGTGTCTGATAGACATGTTAACCTGACAGGTATATTGTGTCCCACAGGGTGTCCGATTAGACATGTTAACCTGACAGGTACATTGTGTCCACAGGATGTCCGATTAGACATGTTAACCTGACAGGTACATTGTGTCCACAGGGTGTCCGATTAGACATGTTAACCTGACAGGTACATTGTGTCCACAGGATGTCCGATTAGACATGTTAACCTGACAGGTACATTGTGTCCACAGGGTGTCAGATAGGACTGTTAACCTGACTGGTACAATGTGTCCACAGGGTGTCCGATTAGACTGTTAACCTGACAAGTCCATGGTGCCCCACTGGGTGTCAGATTAGACTGATCAATTCTACCCTATGAGGTGTCATATTCAACAAGTTTGACTGTACAAAGTTTGTATTATGAATAGTTGATACAATAGAGTTCTGATATCTGTAGTAGTGACATTTTTACTGATTTCCTGATCATGTTTCCATGTATTACAGAGCAGCATTAAATACCGTACAGCAGCTGAAAAACATCCTTAGCTCTTCACAGGATGAACCAAGTGCCAAATTGCAAGAATTTTACGAGGTGACTTTAGTATTTATAGCGTTTCTGATGATTCAGTTGTTGAAATATATAATTTTATAATTTCATTAAGTCATGAAAAATAGCTCGGACATTATTTTGTAAAAATGCCAAGGAAGTAAGTTTTTGTTTGGATGCAGATAAACAATGTTGTAAACAGTTTTTTTCAGAATTACATTTTTAAGTTAGTTGCAGGGGATGCAGATTAACACCAGTTTTAGAAATAAATCCCTTTGCGTAAAAAAAATAGAATAAAAATTAACTGTTGTTAAAACAATTATCACTGGATATTAAATTTGTGCATAATACCAATTGATATGTCTCTAAAAGGATTTGTCTACTGTTATAGTATAGTGTTTAATTTTTTTTTGATACACAGAAATGCTCAGGACAAAATCCTGCCAAAGATATTGCAGACCGTGTGGTGCAGATGGAGGAGGTTTTCATAAAACGGTTTGTGAACTTGACAAGCTCAAATCAGCAGTCTGTAGCAGAACAGAGGTTCACGTTGGCAAAGTGCCTGTATTACAGAGTGCTGGAGGCTATGTTACAGACGGTAATGATTGTAGTGTTATGAATCATTCTTTCATGTGAAAGTTCCAAAAAGAAGATTTTGATAATAGCAGCGATCTTGTTGTGCTGGTACTAATACTGTGTAAATTTAATGTAGTAACCCTCGTGCTCTTCTCACCTACTTAATTTCTTGAAACATTGCTTAGATTTAGATTTTGTTAGCTCACCATCTGATAATGATGGGCTGTTCAAATTACCCTGCATCCATAGTCCATCTGTCTTACATCTGTCTTTATCTGACCTTATGCAATTCTTATTTGGGCTATTTTTTGAGAAGTACTGGATGGATCTTTCTCAAATTTTCCTATAATTGTTGATTATTGTTGTGTGTATTTCAGGAGAAGGAGAGACTTTCCAAAACTGACTTCAGTACACTTCTGAAAATAGAAACTCTCCACAAGTCCCTTGTCGCCTGTTCTGTTGAGATCGTCCTGATGACCTATGGTGTGTCATGTAAGTGCTATGAAAAATTACAGCCTTTCAAACCTGCTTTGGGCCAAGTGAGCTTATGGCATACAGCTGCATCCAAAGTTGGTCCATCAATAAACATTTCCTACAAATCACTATTTTGGTCAGAAACATCAAAGTGTGCAGGGAAGTCAGTTTTGTATAAAAAGTGGGTCTTGGCCCCTAGGGGCATAAGGGGCGTGGAACATTAGGGGAAATAGAACAAATTCTCTGAAATTCTTCTTCCTGTGATGGAATGTATGGATTCTGTCTCAGTTTGGCCGTAAACATCTTTTAATGAAGGTTAATTTTTTATGGAAATGGTGAGCATCAGCCTATTGGACGGAAGCCTAATTTTTGAAATAGAGGAAAGTCTTCTTGAAATTTTTTTTGTATAATTGCGTAGATTTGGTCTGGAGCATTCTGGTATTAAAGGAAATGAATTTTGTATATACATTGGGTGTCTTACCCTCTAGGATGGGAAGGGCGGGCCCAACAGTGGAAATATAGCAAAATTCTTAAAAACTGAAGCTGGCTTGGGTGAAGAAGACATTTTCTAGGTCATCTGATCTATGGCCATCATGCTTCGTCATATTTGTCGCCCACCATGCGCTGTGCTCCGTCCATTGTGCGTAAACTTTTGCCAAACTTCTTCTCAAATTCCATCTATGGGATTGAGCTCAGATTTGCATGAAATGATCCTGAGATGGTCTTGACAAAGTGCTGTTATTTTTTGGGTATGTTTGGAATTCAAGATGGTCGCCATCTTAAAAAACATATTTCTAACTTCTTCAGTTCCACTGGTGCCATTGTGCCAATAATTGGTTAGAATTTTAAGGAAAGGTAGCCTTGTCAAAACTTCGATATGGCAGTCTGGGAGGGTATTTGGTAACATGATTGTGCAATCATAGTTTTCCTTTGCAACACCTATTTTAAACTTCATCTCAAGTTTCACCTGTTGGATTGAGCTCCAACTTTACTGTCAAAAAGATAGGAAACACTTGTTACAGTTACCTACTACTCACCTAAACTACCATCTGCATCATGGAAAACAGCTTCATAGTAAGATTTCATTCAACGTAGACAAAATAACCCTTTTCCCTGCTGAAAGTTTTTGGAGTCAGATGACCTTTAAGGACCATGGGCCTCTTGTTTGTGTAAATGGTTTGGCTGATCAACTGTTGGCAGAGGGATGGGGCCACATGGGGAAGTACATATAAACCTTTAGAATTCCTTTTCCTTAAACTAGGATGAAGCAATTTCAGTCAAAGCCAAAAGAGCATTACAGGCCCTTTGTACATCATGTGTTGAATTTGCAAGAAATTTATTCAAAATAACTTGTGCAATGGCACTCAGAAGGCAGATTTATAAAGACTGATATTGGAGAAATATTTTTCATTAATGGCAGAGTTCAGGGTAATGGTTTTTTGACTCCTTAAAGATACATTTGAACTAGTGAACATAGTGAGAAATTTGTTTCCATAGGAGTTGATGGATTTCCAGTTAAGTTCCTTACATTTTTCGCTATATACTTTGCACTTGAGGAAACACTTCCTTGAGACAATTCCAAGAAGAACTATTGTTTCTGTAATATCTTAGAAACTGAAACTACAAGAGATCGAGTAGTTCATAAAAACTAGTTTGAATGCAGGGTGTCATTGCTGTTTGGTATGAAGTGTTCTTTTGTTGTAGATTGTGTTATTGGTGAGCCAATGATCGTAAAATAGTACAAATATGAATTATAAAATGAAATATTATAAATTGATCAGGGAACCCAGTCATAAAGGCTCTGGCAGCTGGAGATTCCAAGTTTGCATTTCCATGGATACTTGAAGTGTTCGAAATCCATCCATACGACTTCTACAAAGTGCTGGATAGTTTCATCAAAGCAGAGCCAATTCTGACGAAAGAAATTGTAAAGGTATGTTAATAGATAGGTAGGCACTTCCTCAGTAAGCCTATACTCTGTAATGGGCCCACCCACTCCATTTAATTCTTCCATGAAATGTCAGTAAATGATGTTTGATTGCCTGTCTCCCAACCTGAGTCTGAAAACGAGAGGTCAAAAGTTTCAAATGTTTCAACATACATTCGAAACTCGTTATCTTGAAATTCAAGGGACTGTGAAAACATATAAAAACAACTCCATTCAAATATATTTGTTTCTGTTCTGCACATGCGTACAATACCCTTACTGACCAAGCACATATACATAATATATTTTACGGAATGACAATAAAAGCAAATTAAATTTGCTTTTGATACGCTACAAGAAACGATGTAAAAAGATACAGATCATATCATTATGACTTTATTGGGAATAAATAAGCATATGAAATATGTAGCACTAGAAAGTTTTTACCTGTTAGAGAAAACGTTGTACAAGCACTAGACTACAAATCACGCAGATTTCAACTCTATTAATGAAAAATACTTTCAGCACTTCATTGTACAAACACTAAATCTTGCAAAGCTCCCTATCACAGTCCTTTAGTAAACAAGATTAGAATTAATTTTTCTAAGAATTGTGTGGGATCAGATTTCGTCAAAAAGTTTGTACTAGTTTGATGGTTTCTTTTTCATCTTTCTTGAAGATGTACACAACCAACCTAAAATGTTTTCATGTTTTGTCACTGATACAGGATGGTGACACTAATTAAGAAGCCAAATTGGATAATTAAACTCGTAATTAAATGCTAGAGACCAGGTGTTTTGTGTACGATGGACTACCGATACACTGCAATTAGCCATGTTTTATGCACAGTTGATTTTCTACTGTGTGTTTTTATTTGCCAATTTTGACAGAAGATGTGCCGATGTTTTGGCAAAAATTAATTTCTAGACAACTAATTACTTTTCCCTTTTTTAGTCCCCTGCCGGTGAAACCGGAGGGGAATATAGTGTTTCTCCGTCTGTCTGTCTGGATGTTGGTTTCCAGACGATGGATTTGGATGAAACTTCAAACCATGGTAGTTTATAAGGCAATATAGTGTGGGATTTTGTTTGGGGTCAAAAGATCAACTACAAAGGTCACTTACTAAAAATAGAAATTGACACATTTTAGTTTCCGGACAATAATTTGAGAACGGATTGATGGATTTGGTTGAAACTTGATACACTGGAAGCTTACAAATGATAAAACAAGACACTTCTAATACAGAACAAGTTCTACATTTCTTGGAAAAATAATGTATTTATACTGCAATTAGATCATGGGGCCAACCTATAAAATCGGATCCATAGTAAAGGGTTAGCTTATTGCAAACAGTTAAGTAGCATTTGCTCACATTTGCTTTACAACAAAACATTGGTGGGCTTATTAGCAGACATGGGCTTATTTGCTGATAAATACAGTAATTTATGGCAGGGACATGTGTTGTATGCAACACTAACTGTAAGCTTGTTAGGTCGCCTGAGCTGAAGGCTCATGGTGACCTATTGCCATCATGATTTGTCTGTCGTTGTGCGTTGTGCGCCGTAAAATTAGGTAAATCTTTAAAAATCTTCTTCTCATGAACCAACAGTCAGATTAAATTCATATTTGATATTTAGGGTCCTTATGGCAAGGTCTACAAAGTTTGGTATGAAAAAAAAAATGGGTCAAAAACGGCCCCACTAGGGGGTGCTCAAAAGGGTAGAAAATTCAGCTTTGACCGATTTCAACCAAATATGGTAGACAGCATCCCTTAGTGAAAGACATATGAAATTATGTTGAAAAAAGTGATAATGTCCCCTTTGGGGCCCATAAGGGTCATTAAATGACTACTTCTCAAGAACCAGTGGATGGATTTTGACCAAACTTGGCACAAAGCATCCCCATGGGAAGCTGCTTCAAGTTTGGCTATGACATTATGGACTTCCTCTCAAGAACCATTGGGTGGATCATGTTCAAACTTGGTACAGATGTTTTACACTTGGTCCTGCACAAGTGTTGTTACATTTTTGCAACATTTTAAAATCCCCAGATTATTGACATATATTCCTCAGGTGACCGTTAAGGCCCCTTGGGCCTCCTGTTGATTGAAGGGACTGAAAAATTGCTTTGATTCACCAGAAATTTGGACTTATGTAGTTTGAGTCATCCAAACTAAAATTACAAAGATATAGAAGGAAAAAAATTGGGACTTGAAAATTATTTTGACTCAATGGAATTTCGGCTCAAGAGATTTCGAGACAAGAAATTTCATCTGTATTCATCTACATTTCTGGGAAGTCAGGGATAAAATATATTTGTTCGATAGATTCTTGAAAGGGAATTTTGTAATAAAAATTGTTGAGTCATTTTCAAGTCTTAAGATCATTTATGTTATGAGACATACATGTGCAGTAGACAAGTTTACAGGTAATGTGTAATGTCGCATACTACATGTTTTGCAAAATTATCGCATGTCACATACAAAACTTAACAACATCTATTTATTAGGTCACCTGAGCTGAAGGCTCATGGTAACCTATTGCCATCATGATTTGTCTGTTGTTGTTAACTTTTCACATATTCAACTTCTTCTCAAGAACAACGGAATTGATTTTGACCAAACTTGGCACAAAGTGTCCCCATGGAAAGCCGCTTCAAGTTTGCAAAGAAAAAGGGCGTGGCCCCAATAGGGGCCCCAGATGGGGGAAAAAGGGGGTAAAATTAGGTAAATTTTTAAAGTTCTTCTTCGCATGAACCAACAGTCAGATTAACCACTGGGTTGATCATGTCTAAACTTGATACGAATGTTCTACACAGAGTCCTGGCAAGTGTTTTAACTTTTTGGGGCGATTCAAAATCCAAGATGGCCAACCTGGCCTCTGTTTGGCTAAGACATTTTGGACTTCCTCTCAAGAACCACTGGGTGGATCATGTTCAAACTTGGTACAGATGTTTTACACATGGTCCTGCACATGTGTTGTTACATTTTTGCATCATTTTAAAATCCCCAGATTATTGACATATATTCCTCAGGTGACTGTTACGGCCCCTTGGCCTCTTGTATTAATATGGGGTGGTGATCTTAGCTTACATGTAACATTGTATTTCCTGCTTACTCCTTCGTCTCTAAAGAAGTAGGTATAGAAATTTTTCAGTTCTTGTATTTCTATATTAGTTAAATGTAGAAGTATGCTATTGTTACACTTTGTGTTTTGGTGTACACTTGTATTTTTGGGAGTTTAAGCAAGCATCATTTGTAGTTATTTAGTTACTGAAATTGTTTTTTCAGTTAACTATATGAAGATGATAAAAGAATTAGATAGGTTGATATATACAGTTAACACTGATCAGAGTGCGAAAAATGCACTCTTCCACCCCTCCTGGACGGGTGAAAAACGGCCCAGGCCGAGCAGTTCTTCAACTGGGCTTATCACTTAGGATGAGTGCAATTAGTTTTTAAAAAATGTATTTTTCCATAAATATAGGCACAACGTTACGTAAAAAGATCAACCAGTCTTAATTTCCATTATTTACCGTAAATTTTCGCGTATAGTGCACACTTTTTCAAGCTAAAACTGTTGTGTTAAAAAGAGGGTGCGCATTATATGCAGGAACATGCCATTCTTGGGGTTATCATTCCCGAGTTCTGCTTCCGGCATATTGGATTGCCTCCCTTCACATAGTTAGTTCACATAGGAAGTTTTTGGGCGATTGTCGTTCTGTTCATAAATCGTACAGCCCATCCCATCGATGCCCAAAGTTGGTGACCCCATGACCTCTCTTGATCTGCATGGCCCGCATGCGCAGTTCTGTTGTACTGGCAGTGATGCCGGCATCTCGACGATCGCATACAAAGTTGAACAGCTCTCACTCCATCTCTGGGTGTTTCGCTGTCACACCAATGTCAGCCCTTCTGGTCAGTGGTTGGAACTTTAGACATGTTTTTTTTTTTCATCTGTGCCTTGATATTTCACTCTGGAATGTCGAAGTGGCGACCGGCGGCACGAAACTCGAAGTCTCTCGGCATAGTCAATGGTGTACGCTATCTATAATTAAGTACCTTTGGATACCGCGGTAGGTACAGATATGGGGACAAGGTACGATTGAAATTTTTCAGACAGTTAAAACAACATAATTTTCTGAGCAATAGTACGCGTTTAGCCGAAGCCGGGTGTCATCAATCTCCTCATACTCAATGTGTTTGTTACCTGTTAAGAACCGTTAATTATCCAATTAGCCAAAACCTTTCATGCTTGTTAAGTCAGGCACCTGGGTGAATTTGTTTACATAAGGTAATTAAATATGTTAGGGTCACGATGATTGTGGTTTCCTAATTATCAATGGATCAAACCACAACTGTTTCGTTGCGGTAACCAGTAATCAATTAATCTCTGTGAAGAAAATCTTTTCTTTTTTTTATCTGACCCCAAAAAAGTACCTGCGCACTATACCCGAGTGTGCACTATACCCGCAAATTTACGGTACTTTCCTTATTGGAAGTTAGTACATGTATGTGTACCACACAAACAACAGAGCATAGCATGGTGAGTGCGCACCCGATTCAGGTCATCAAAGCATTTCATTTAGGTAGATTGATATAATAGGATAACACATCTCCGGACATAGCACTGTGTTTCGGAATTAAAAGAATTACACATCAATATTTAGAATTATTTTTATTACAGATGTAAGTGAAAACAATTCAAATAAAGACAACAAATTCAAATGACAAATGTCATTACAGTCGAGACCCAATAATCCGTGCTCCGTTGGTCCGGAAATCTCGCAGTCCGGACGAGAATCGATGGGAACGGATTTCCGTAATGTTATTTTGAGCTACTAATCCAGAAATCCGGATTCGCAATCTGGGCACAATTTCCGGGAACCAAACCCAGAAATATGGTCTTTTTTGAGTCAATAATCCGGATGGAGAAAATACAAAAGAATTTTTTTTTCAGAAAAAATAGACCGCTATTTCATCTTACCTGACTGGGGGCATTGTCCGT